TATAATCTGCTCGCAAATCTTGATAACTATATTGCGAACACTTCTTCGTGAACCGGAGGGAGCTCGTCAGTGGTCAGTTTGATGTTACAGTCCTCGATTTTTTATATACCGGTTACGTAGCGGTCCATTACATGTTTGACACTCCTGGAGCCTGCATGGGTGTACACACCTGGCCAAATGTTCTCACGGGTTGGTCGCGGGAATGTTCCATAAAGGTTGAAGGTGTGGGATTTTCCTTGATTTATGGAGGGAAGTTTTGTGACTTTCCCAGTAAATTCACCCTACCAATAACGTCGACGTTCGTGGGTCTTACAGGATGTCGCTGAAATGACCGTCTCAAGTTGTGTGGATAGTCCTCACCGAAGTCCGGTCTGTTACTTTCCATGTTTACAGGCTGTGGCATCTCGTACCTGTATTTTGAATTTCTTAACTACATCTGACCGTGTAACTGAATTTGCTGTCCCAAAAGCGTATTCTCAGGATATCCTAACCAACTTTACAGTAGCTGTTACTTTAACTTTTGTCTGAGGTTCACTCTCAGACAAGTAGATCTTAGTGATCTAACATATGTATCACGAAGTTCATCTGACAAGCTGGGATGAAGCCCTATTATTTATTGGCCCACTGTTTGGTCAAGTTAGGTGGGTCTTCGAAAGTATCAGACCCTCAAACATACCACTATTTTCATTGCCCAAGAAGTGATAGTTTTGATCGACTCGACGGCACATATATATCTGATGCTGTATTGTACTGAGAATGTCCAACAGAACCCGATTCTCCGAGACGGCGGGGAGTGTTGTTAGACAGAAATTATTCATTCTCAGAAATATTAATTTAGTTTTTTGCCTACTGGAAATCGTTTTTTTAAAGGCACACTGACTGTGGTGGCTTAAACCTCAACATGATTTATCCCCAATAAGCAGTGAAACAAGCGATACCGCTAAAAATTGTTCGTTGGGGGGGGGGGTTAGGTGGTACTGTCTCCATCTACTAGCTGAAGACAGTACCACCTTTCCCTCTTGTGGTTCGTGTCCACAGAGGTGCCTTTTTTGCGAATAAAAACAACATTGCATCAATTTATCCATGTGTTGTATAAAGCTTGTGCTTTTCACCGCAAAGTCACGAGGTCTACTATTCTTTTGGCTGAAGAACTGCCCTCACTTACTGTTTTTGTTGTGGCAAATTCGTCGGCGCCCGTTGATCTCCAGTTCGTGCATAGTTTTTAGACGTCCACGAACCTTTTGAACTACCAGGCAAAACGTTTCTGCAAACCACGCAAGTTCTCCCTCCACAGCCTCTATCCTCACTCTAGTTTCTCTTCTCTGTATCGTTTTTATTTATTTATCGAGTTTTTTTTACCGTTTCTAGTGAATTGGAAGAACGACGGGAAATGCTAGAACACGACTTAGCTCAAATTCAAGAAGATTTTACGCTCACCCAGGCCGAACTGGCTGAGGCACGTGAACGTCAGGAACAAATTGAAAACGAGTTGGTTGCTTGTCAAAAAGATGTGGTGAGTTGTCGTTCCAACTTAATCTTACTTTCACTTACTTTCACTTAATTCTTTAAAACCTTGAGTTTGTGCTACCAATTGAGTTTACAACGCCGGCTCAGATGCCTTTTGTGATTGGAGAAATCGATCCATAAGGCAGTGAAACGAATTTCTCTCCCTCAGGTCATTTGCAGTGGACGATCCCTTAGATAATGACCCATCATCTACACATGTCTATGATCCCGAAGTACTCAAGTCCGCCACGGCTTGTGGTGTTAAATCTCGTCAGAAATCACGTGGTACATGCGCCTCGCGTTTTGAGGTTGGAATTTCGCCATATCCTGTAGGCCCATTTCTCTTTTTAGGAACTGAAAGCCACACTAGTAGCTTTTCGGGATGAACAGTCGAGTCACTGTCTAGAACTCCCTGCTGTAGCCATATTGGGGCCCCACACTGCCACGTTAACTGAGTTTGATCGGTGCGATTTAGTGATGGTGAATGGTACTTCTACATGATCAGATTCTTAGAACAGTGTATTTCCTTTGCTCTGCCGTGATTAAATCGAGACAGATAATTTCTCAGTACGACCTGGCATCGGCTTACATGCGTTCCCAGCCTCTGTCTCCCACAAGGCAATATGGCTTCGTATTACCCTGTAATCTTTCGAATAGTTGTGCAACATCCAGTAGCATTCAATTCATCTATTGGTTCAGCATCCTCGCACTCATCCATCCTCAAAACCGATCCCTTCTACCCATCCTTTTTGTGCTCTCTTTGCATCCGCCGGTCGAGATATCTAGATCACCGCCCTCAGCTAGTCTAGTCCCTCGGTATTGTCGCGTGGTTTCCGTCACATACAAACAGGTGATTGTGTCACAGGTAGTAGTTGGGTACGGGATTAAAGCTACTGATGTAGGTTTAGTCCCAGTAGGATACGATGGGCTTACGAAGCGCAGATACTATCCTTTCTAAGTTTTGTTTCCATCCTATTTTAAGACATTCGATTTGGGTTTCACTCTCATCCTAGTGGTGCATATCCTCGCGCGCGACTAAAGTCAAGCTTTATCCATATGACCTACCCCGACACAGTGTTTACGCCTTTACCCACTACTCTTTCAAGAGAGATCCCTCCAAAGAGAGCGAGATGACCCAAGTGGTTAGAGCGCGAATTTACTGGCCGAAAGATCCGTGGTTTGAATCTGATCTCTGCATCTCGATTTCCCCTGTCTAGGCTTGGGCAACCTGGCAGTATCCCAGCCCTCGTGCTTCCTTCAGGTGGCATGGCAGCTAGGTGCCGGAAGGATGCTACAGCTGAACGCTTTTTTGAGCACATTCCGACAGAGTCCAAGATTCCTTTGCGTCTCCATGTCATCTCTTCGCTTGATTTCTACATTGACTTCATCGAATCTTCTCAGCACTTGCTTTGCGCATTACAGCCGTGGTTGTTGTGTTCAGTTCATTGACTCAGATTCAAATCCAGAGGTATTCAGTTGGTTATATACGAACACGTTTGTTCGCTGTGAGATGTGTCCAACTACCGCCGATCGACTGTGAAGTAGACAGTAATTGGTCATTTCCATAGCCTCCTGAGTATCGACCGAAGAGCATTTGAGCTTGATTATTAGTGTTGAAAGTAAGGAGCATCTGATAGCCAGTTGTTGATTTAAAACTCATTAAAGTATGCAAATTTGCGGAACGCAGTCGTGCCAAAGTCCTCCTACTTTCCAGTTCCATCCCCTCACTTCCGTTTCGAGAAATACGCTCATTTGCAAATCAATCTGAATCTCTCGCTTGTGATATTTTACGACTGAATGTGCTGCACACAGGCCGCCTCATGATTCATGAAGCACATTCAGTTGGAGGACACCATAAACGAGAGATCCAATTGAGTCTCCCGTGGAAACCAAATTGATTTGCAAATGAGTGTATTTCTCCAAAACAGTCCAATTTGGGTTCAAGTAGATCATAAGGTTAACGGAAACTTGAGGACTGCGCCTACCTGATGAGCCTCAAGAAGGACGAAACCTGTCGCGGGCTGTCGACCTTGTGAGTAGTCTCCCTCTATTTTGTTGTGTACAGCTCAAAGAGGTCTAACCTAAACCTTGAACGTATAGTATTGACTGCTTTTTAACCTTCTTTGACCATCATATATATATATATATATATATATATTACTAAATCGTGCCATGGTTTTAAACCAGGAAGAGAAACGTGTCCGCTTGTTGAAGCTCAAATGTCGTCTGGAAGAGGAGGCGCATATTCGAGAGAAACACCAGGAAACGGAAAACGTCCTGCGTGGACAGGCAACCACCTTACTTCAGACTGCTCGTTCTGCCATATCTGATGTCACCGGCCTTCATGACAAAGTCCACCGGTTAGCCAGCCTGGATGAGAATAATCGAGAACGTGTCTCAAATATTTCTACTAACTGGGCTGTGGATCGGATGACCGAACCGATATCCCAGGTCGCTGACCTTTCGAAAAAGTTTGATTTGTTCTGTCAGAGTATTCGCAATGCACTATGTAAGTTTGCCAATATACTTTCTACTTTTTCGAAGGTAAATGATGCACGTTTGTAGTCCGTTTGAGAGTCCATGGGGTAACTTTTCTACAGAGAGTGCTCAAGGTTTCACCTTCAAGCTGACCACACTCAATTGTCGATCGGGAAACCCATCATGTGACCTATCATTTGGGAACTTCTACATACATTACACTTCATCGCATATTATTTATTAGCATGGTAGTTCTAGCTACTGAAGTATTTTTCAGCAGTGATCGAGGAAGCAGAGCGTGTAATTTGCATTTTTGTAGGTTCTAATTCAGTTTTATCATATGCAGTTGTATGCACTTCATTGAAGCCATGAAAAGCCGCACTTCCCGAAAATTCGTGGTGGAACTCGAGCACGCAAATGTGCAACGAACAAGTATTTAGCAATAAACAGCAGGATCCGTCCGTTATCATTCTTACCTAAGTGGGTTTGGAACCCACGATATTTTACCAAGTTCAGCTAGTAGTGACTGACCCTTTTCGACTAGTCTAGTTGGGCACCATGAAGCCCTAATGGGAGGTGTACAAAGGTGTTTACTCAGCGTGTCTTATCCTCTTAGCAGAGTTGAACTTGTGCAATCTTTGTCGTTTACTTTATGTTGAATATGTCCGTTTGGACTTTATGGTTTGATATTCTATCCCATTCCAGCTGATTTACGGACCAACAACGAGACGGTAGCAGTTCAGTTATTAGACAAGCAAAAAATACTGAAGCAGACATTGGCCGCGTCCTTAGCCAAAGAATGCATCCATGCTGCGGAACAAACTGATTTGTTTGCCAGCGAACAACTGAACCTATCCAAGGAGTGTCTTGAGACCACACTCAGGCCACAAGCAGAACGTATTAGGACGCTTTACTCGACGCTTCAGAATGAAAACCAGCAAATGACGCAACTCATCCAAAATCACGTGAGCTTACCTCATGGAGTTTTTATCATCTATTTGCCACTTGGCAATTTTTCCAGGATGCCCTTTTCAGTATACAGACAGATTTCAATCCCAATAGAGCCCATGATTCTGGTTCCGTGTGCTACTCGCTTGTCCCTCCAACACAACAATGTCGACTCGTCGCTAACCGGACCCTGCGTATTCTAAACTCGATTACTTCGTGCTTGTCATCTTGAACCTATTAATCCGATAAGTTTCACCCGTCCCCAAGCTGATTTCACTCGCACCTCACTCCTTGATGTCAACTTTGTTTTACTGAGACTGTTACAATTCCAACCACAAAAGGCTGCATGATCCTAATGATTATACGTTTGGGACACTCATTTTGTGATCTTTTGTGGTCTTCAGATAGGGACGCTGTTCTGAGTCCGGTTCAGAAGTAAAGGGAACTATCACCCTCAACACCTGATATGTTGTTTCGCTGACTTTTTGTGGGGAAATGCTGTCATTCATACAAAATCCCTCAGCAGACTGGATAGTATAACTAACTCACTTCTCATCCGCAAAGCCATTTCGGTTACTTGCTGATTTAGTTCCGTGTGGGTTGAGAAATCTCCCTCAACTTGTGGTAAGTGTGCTGTAGTCAGTCCTACCCAAACCTTCAGTCTTTTCAATCTATTGCGAATTAATCAAGTTTTTTGTTAAAACAAACGTTCGAGTTTTAGTTTGTCGTTCAACAGAATTTTACACAAATCATTCATTTATTCGATCTTTTCACACGAAGTATAATTTTTTTCCATCCATCTGTTCCTATAACCATCATTTCAGAAATGAGTTTGGACACTGAAACTTTGGTTGGCCGCCATGCTGAATTAATAGGTCGGGGGTCGTTCAGCTCGACCGAACTGCGCTGTTCTTGCTTTTAGGATATTTGGTCCTACCGACTAACAGGCATGCATGTTTAAACACTAAATTGTCCGGCAAATATCAAGTCGCCACCTGTGCTACCTGACTAGGTTACCTGACAGTCGATTGGTGCAACCAGGGCAGTTACCGGACTGTCACTCAAGGTATCGAGCAAGCTAGTCATGCTTTCCAAGCGTAAGCACGTCTGCCGATCACATGTATGATCCTGTGATGATTCAGGCACACCCAGCATATGACTACACACTGGCCTCTCATGGAAGATGTCGAGTTTCGAGGATGCACACTACTGATGAACTTTCGTAGTAGTGTAACTCGCATCCTGCTTTGATGTGATTGACGAAAACCATTCTGTACGGACAGGGGGAGGACTTTTTCCACAAGTTCTGTAACTACCACAATCAAATGAGTGTTCATAATAGAAGACACGCCAATTTGAACACCTATGAAAAAGCAAAGTTCAAAATGATGAGTAATTAAAGCACTTGAGCTTATCATTGGGACGATGCGTCTTACCCAGAAGACCGTGAATTGTGGCTGTCACGCTCTGTAATGATGATGATTCTCTCTGTCTGCATTTGTGTGGCCACGAGTGGAAAAGTGAACTTACACAGTACGATGAGAAACAGATTGGACGGTCGATTGAGGTGTATATTGGGCGCACCAAGGTCCGTGATTTGATTTGCGACAAGTCGAATGGTTTCTTTCACCGTGCTTTCGTCAATATAATTCGCCAATTACTCACGTGGCAAGTTGTCAATAATGTATACAGCTTCCATGATGCCATTAGTATAATTCATTCCATTTTGCACTCGATGACAGTGTGCTCGTTAACTAAGCGGAATTTCTTCACCTCACTGCGTATGGTGAGGCTGACTGTTTGTGAGTGGAGATGATGAACTGAACACGTCCTCAAAGTAGCACAAAATCTGCACTGTGACACCTCGTCGTATGCCTTACTGCAGCGATATAACTGTTGTTTTGACTAACCTTCTCTTTGTAGAATACCGCACTACGTGCATCCCACGCACATCTGGACAAGCTAATCGCGGACGTTGCACAGTTGGTGAAGATGTGCAATATGTTTGCCGCCGCACAACAAGAACGCAACAGTGAGCTAGGCAAACTATGGGACAATCACTACAAAAAGCAGAAAGAACTCACAAATGTGAGTTTTTTGGTCACCTGTCGACTAACTTTTCTGTGGTTGTTATATATTTAATGTAGTGGACATTGCTTGTCACTGTTTGAATTTGAGGTGACTAAGGCATGACAAACGGACGGATCGGAAGGTGTGTGATTCGAATCCACTCATTTCGGCTGCTTCCATCTGTAATTAAATAGGAGTTCGGCAGTAGTTTTAGATCTCATGCTTCCTATTAGTTGCTTGGTGATTGTCCTCTCTGGACGTGTTCTTGGTTCACCAGGTGTATCACTCAACCGTTTTGTTGAAAAAAGGAAATTCTCCGTGCTTTAGCTTCGTAGTCTACGATTTGTTCTTAGTCACGCATTCGATCCAGGTCATTCGATCAATGCATTGTCTACCCGAAATCGTAAGATGCTGCGACACTCAAAGTACGTCCTACTTGGTCGATGAAGCACACCATTTTTACCCAGCAATTTTCAGAGTTTATGTACATTCATCTGTTACCAATCTCGTAGTATTCATCGAGAGCATAAGGATACGCCAAAAAGTTAACCCTTCGAGAGAGAGAGAGACTCCGCATAGAGGTCATTTATCTAAATAGCCAAAAGCAGCGTTCCTCAGTCAGCTGTGATCTAATATGGATCTCTCTTACAGAGAATTGAATATCTAGGTTTCCCACGATACGAATTCGTCCCTCCTGGCTTTTCTTGTACGCATCGGCTTCAGTGCATGTGTCCGTCAACCATATCCAACCTGTTGTTCACCAACTGACCACTGTCCACCGAGAAACTACGTAGCTGCAATTTTTAAGGCCTTACTCATCTCTGTGGAATCACTCGATATCGTCAGATTGTTCGAGTTCGAGGCAACTTACAATTTGAGCTTCCAACCAATCGCTTCATGGTCAAAATTCACTCCAAATGTATTCTCTTGTTCGAATTCGGGAAGCCTGCCACTGTTTTGCTAATGCTCTAATCCCTCCGTGTCTGACGCTTGCTTTGTCTGTCTTCCTTAGAATGTGATAAACTGTGACACTTGGTAGAAGGGGGCGTTGGGGAAAAATATGGGAAAGTTTGGGTCCTTCTGGTGTCACTCGTTTTCCAGGACAGGGTTGTTGAAACGTTTTGTAGTCGCTAATCCAATAAGTCCTCTTTCAGAAGCCTGATGGTGGTGTTCACTTTCTTCTTGGATTTCATTTATCTCATCAACGGAGAACTCTCAGTCCACCGTAGTCGCGTTATAATACCTAACAAGTCCATGAGAACAGCTGCTGTTCTCAGTGACTCTTTCGGGCAGGCACACCTGCCTGTAGATTTACATGGATTCACGGCAAACAAATGGGGGTTCGGACAACGGGTACAGTGGAGAGACGTTTGGAAGGGGGTTTGAGTCGTAATTATTGAGATAGGTAGTAGTAGAATTACAGGTTGTCTCATAGGAATAATGGCACCTGCGTAGTCTCGGTAAGTATGGATGGCCTCGATAAGCATCAAAGTTGTGTGGATGACCAGTGCCTCAGCTGTTTGGTGAAATCAGACACGACTGGGGAAATTCAATAGATTACCTCAATTCCCACCTTTCTGAGATTTATTGGCTGATGTCAGTAAGGTGCGACCTGACTGGGCAGGAAATTGGTCTGCTATGGCCATGTATGAGATGCTTCGGGATATGCTCAGTTATTCTTTTCGGTGACAGATGTAGTGTTATACCAAAAAGTTAAAGTGATTATCTTTTTTAGTTCTTGGGGTCTAAAACTTAAAGCGGGTTTTACCTGCTCCTTCGGAGGGTTCCCTGACTATTAGTGAAAGGAAGAAGGCCTTCGGTGCGGAGTTGTTTATTAGAGAAACACCAACTGAACAGTTACAGTCTATTGAACAGGGAAGCAAAACTCTCATATGCATCTTGTTTACAAAAACTGAATATCCATCTTCTCCTTGAACGCGTCTTCTTGAACTTTCCTGGATATTCACCAAGCGTTACCCAAATACAAGCAAATGCTTCGAAGCGACTTCACAAATTCCGTAACAGATCTCAATTTTCAAGAGACGCGATGCGGATTTGGGAGAAAAGATACTACTCAGCCCTCATCAGTAGCATCCACCGTTACATTAACAGCCTATCTTAAATGCAGTCTCATGTGTATATGTTCCTGTTTTACAACGATTCTAGATTTGAGAGCTATGTCAGACAACTGATGTTGGTAATTCCGGGTTTTCCGAGGGTTTGTTCGGAACGTTCACAGTAAGTCAGCACTAGATTCCTTTCCCATCCCAACTGTTTGAAAGTTCATTAAAAAAGCTATTCTGTGGAAGTAGAAAACAAGGGAAAGAAGGTAGCTGATCTTGGCATTCTGAGGTATCCAAATTCCCGAACTTCAACCTTATACACTAGAGAGAGTCGGAGTACTCTTTTGCATCTTTGTTGGCGAGAGGTAAAGACAGGGCAGTGGATCTAGCTTAAGGGGTGGATCTAGTTAGAGTCCTCCCGATCAAAAAAGTCGTTCAGCTCTAACACCTTTTCGGTGCCAAGCTGCCATGCCACACGAAGGAGGCACGAGGGCCAGCATACTGTCAGGTTGCCCAAGCCTAGACAGGGGAAGCCGAGAGGCGAAGGTCGGGTTCAAACCACGGACCTTCCGGTCAGTAGATTCGCGCTCTAACCACTTGGCCCATCTCTCCCCAGTTCTCCAGATCCGATGCTTCGCACTGTGCTGGTGATCTCAGTTGGTGGAATGGACCATTCATCTAAAATTTGTTGGTTCCAGACATCAGATGGGTACAACCCAGATGGTGTTGGCACTTTAGATGATATTCCACCTGGTTGGTTCCTCTTTTCTCCAACAACCATCTTATGATGATGCCAACGGTAGAATTAACACCAGAACAAATTCCGAGTCTTCTGTTTGACCTTTGGAATCTCTCGTGAGACAGTAACCTGTGTCATTGTGACCACATTTGAGTCTACTTGTTTGATACAGGCCGTTTTTGTGATCCAGCATGAAGGTCACTTAACCCACTGTTGACCTACAAATCTGATATGCACTTTTTTGCAGACGATTCGGTCGGCCCTGTCCAGCCTGGAGAATGACCAGGAAACAACATATGACCACGTGAGTCCATTTTTCGTTCCCTATCTTTTCCAAGTTGCCATACCTGATCACGTGAGAATCCGAAGTGCTGTGCCTCCTTGACCTACTCGATACTGATGACAAGATTGTGTCCTAATCATTTTGTACCAAATTAATGGTCATCACCTCGGTTAAATAATTCTCTTGGACTTCAGCAAAAACTTAACACAGTCATTCCGAGGTACCAAGCAACAAAACGTGTGCAAAACGCGCACACGTGACCATGTACTATGTGCTGGAAGCATTCTGAACTTCAAACAGCCTGTGACGGCGTCATTGGGGTACGAAAATTAGTTGGCCAATTTTTCCACGGCATGATTAACAGGACTCCAAAAGTTTCGAGACAGGTGTGCGAATCCTGCCGCATTAGAGAGTGGCTTCAGAGATGAACAGGTTGTGTCATACGTTTCTGAGGTGCGCCGACACAGAGTTGCACTGGATAGATCTCTGTGGTGTTTTTCGGTATATTGTGAGGATACCCTTTTCCAAACAACGTCATTTTTGCAGTACTCGAGAAACGACTCTTTGTCGAACCAAAAATACATCAAATAATTGGGCGTTTGATCAACTGTTATCACATAGTTCATAGTCACACCACTCTCGTTTGAACGGTCGTCCTCCTGTTCTGGCGTAATTATTCCCATGAGTCCACACTAAAGGGAAGCACTGGACTCGAGTTTCGTTCTTATTAGAGCTCATCAGCGGTGCGTATCCAATGGCCGTCCCGGGATTCGAACCCCGGACATCTGACATGCGAGACGAGCGTGTAACATTCTTTGAATGTACATTTCGACTTTCTTTTTTTTGAACCGCTAAATCATTTGAATCACACATAGTTACATTGCGCTACAGAGGTATAGCTGGCCGGTTTTGTCTACATACTGTTTACGTCATAACAGTATGTGCTGCACTGTCAACCAGATACTTGCATGTCCGATGAAGCTTGAACACACTTGCCTCACGCACAATTAGTCGATGTAAGAAAGATGCTTTACGACGATATTGGGGTGTACAATCACACCGATTGCTGATGACAGACGGTTGCCTAGACGGTACTCGAAGATGCGTCGCTCGTTGTACCTGATCATTCGGTGCATTCATTGTTATGCTACTCAAGCTAATGGAAAAATAGGATTTGTTGTGCTTTTTCCGGGGAACCGAATCCCAGATGGCTACAAATTAACCGAAAAAACACGTTGAAATGTGAAATGTGTGGCTGTAAGGCGTGGCCTCTGCGGGCAGTGGGACTGAGACACCTTCAGGTGTTGTCCCGTAGGAATGGTAATGCATTTGCATTTCCCGCCAAACACCGCTGCCTTGTGGTTGGGTTTCTGAGCCAAAGTCTTTGGTTGAGGACCCTAATCATCCTTCTATCTAGGTGTGGGCGCCCTGACGTTATCCCAGCCCACGTACAAGGTTGTACGGCAGCGAAGCATCGGTGTTGAACGGTGATGTCATGCTGTCGATGATGATGATGAAGTGGGGCAGCGAAGCACCAGGGTTTGAATAAGTATGCTATTTCCTTGATAATGATGATGGTGATATCTTCTCGAAAAAACTCAACAGTTCGTGTTTTACGCCATGGGAGTTCTCTTTGTGCGCTAATTTTCAGTTTCCGTGAAATATTCCATTGCACCTGAACTGCGCCGCCCTATTAATGTCTAATGCATGTGTGGGTATTTTTCAGGTGGACAGAGTTATCAATGTCCAAAAATAAATTGTTTTTACTCCATTGAATGTGGAGCGGTTTTGTGATTTGTTTTTTCTCCGTCTTGCTGTACGATCGTTGGATTTTTCGAAACCGACTAGCCGAGGCAGTAACAGCAGCTAGTGCATTTTCTCAGTACTGTTCTGGAAGTGTGTTTCATAAGTAAACGGCCTCTAGAGCACACCACATTTTCGGGAAGTGAGAGAATCAACGTGAGCCTTATTCAGACGCGACATGATATTGTTTTTCATGGCTACGGGGTGAATCCTCCACTACACGGATAACCCTGGCATGACATCCAATTTTCAAACCTCCAATGTGCAGCAAGTATCTCGTGGTTGAATAAACCGGTTACCTGAGGGCGATTTCCTGTAGTTTGTGATTCACGTTTACTCAGCCCGTTGTTTAAAAAGCGAATCAGATTCCTTGAAGATGTAAACTCCACGAGATTTTGTATCTATGTAAGCGTGAATGGATAGACTGTGTGAACTTTGCGTGGTTGGTTTCAAACTGTTCATATCCAATCTAAGAGCCCACTACCAGGTTTTACTCCGCCATTTGCTTTCATTTGGCTATTGTTCTCGCTAGTCAAGGGAATGTTGGCAGCTCAGATTGTCTAGATGGCTCCTTGTCTGTTCGCTGAACTGGGCGATTTTGCAATCAAATTGCTCAGATAAGCGAACAGAACAATAGAAGGTATGATTTTTGTTCAGAAGTGCTGTTGTTTTAATCAGGTGGCAGCCAACTTACTTATCGGAGCTAGCAGTCAATGTTTAAAGAGGACATAATAATTACCAGGCTGAGATTGCGTGCTCAGGATGTGGTTGGACCCAAAAGTCCCGGTTGCATAATACCTTTTGCCTCTAATGAATATTGTCTGGAGAATTCGGGATGTGCCCCACCGAAGGAATCTCCTTTCTAATCCCAATTCTCGGTGGAAGATTCGTATTGGACAGACTGAGATTAATGTAATCCGTCTTGTACATGATCTAAAATCCCAAATGATACGACACAGCTCAACCCAGTGATAGGCCTGCCGTCACGTCTTAGCCGAACTCGCTGTTGATAGCTGCACGCTGGGCTGGGATGAAGTCCACGAAAGATGCTGGGTCGATTCCGCTGATGGATGATAATGGTTTTCCCGAGGAACAAGGGGCTTGTGGGAAATGCCCACCCTTTCCCTTTCTTTTCACTCTCAACTCTCCTTCACAGCTTTATAGTATTTGGGTTCCGATCTTTACTACTGACGTTTTGTTTCTCGTGATCAGGGCGACGATGTTTAGAGACCTCACCTTGTGGTCATTTCTTCTACATCTCTTCATACAGGTTGTCACTACTACTGCTGTTATGCAAACTCAGCTGAATGACTGGCATCTAACCCACGTCCAGGAACTGAATAAACTGGAGCATATGTTGTCCAGTTCTAACAAAGCTTCAGCTACTAGGCTTGATACCTTTGAGTCAGACGGACACAATCAGCTTGAGCAATTAGATCACACTTTGTCCTGTGTTATGGCGGAACACGAGACGTTGCAAACAAAGGCGGATACATGTTTGGAACGTTTGTGCAAACAGGCAGTTGATTTTTCCACATACGGTCTTGGTGCAGAGCTGCGACAGAGGGCTCAACGCTGGAAAGACCCGGATACGGAATCACAAAACAGCCAGGTGGAACATGCATCCATTCAACTGGACTCTCTTGTCCTCACTACCGCGAAGGAGGTGACTGATTTGTCACAAGTCACCAGTGGCAAGGCGCTGATAGTGGAGAACTTGAGCGGTGATACATCTTACCAAGTGGGTTTTATCAATGATACCTGTGCTTCGCACTTTAGAGCCTTCAGTTTTGCACGCATTGTCTTATTGTCTCATTTTTCCTTGTAGGCCTCGATCGCATTCAAGAAGCTGAAGGAAAATTTGGAAGACGTTCCAGCAGACTTTGGTCACCAGCTATCGGAGAATCTTCATCGGTACACACCTACTGGACAAACCCCACAACCGAAAGCATTTACTTACCCCGAACAGCTGGCCCAAACCGCTCCGCATGCGCAGCTTCGCCGGGCTTTTCGCGTTGTCCAGCAACAACAGGGGTTACAGGAGGCGTCGCTCACACCGCTACCTTTGGACAAATCGCTTGAAGCTGTTTCAGAATGCGCAGTCAGTCCAACGGAACTTCAACAGGAGAAATGCGTTTTCCCATGTGGTGAGGACTGCGTTAGTACCAGCGGAGTGGTAAGTCATTTTATTGCATAAACGCTTGTCAAAGCGGTTCAAGCCACCCGTTCAATATTGTATGTCAATGTCCGGCCTGCTGGATCATTCTGATAGAAGCGTTCCGGCAGATTATTGTTCTGCAGTACATCGTTCATTCGCTAGGTACATTTTACTTATGTGTGTCGTTGTATTGTCCCAGCCTCTTCTGCCCTTGATGCGGTGCGTCTAGCATTGAGGTCATAGTGAAAACGCTGGATTTTTACGTCGAAAATGCCCAGTATTAATTTACCTACCCACTGATGTTCTTTCAATTCAAGGGTGTGTTCAATTCTGCCGATTGGTCAGTGCTCCGAACGACACTTGCTCAACAGAGGATAGAACGAAAGTTTACAAACATAGCCCGGTCCTTACATTCACGTATTTCTGGGTGTGCGAGTGTACCGTGAGCTCTCTGCCACCTACAGAAGTGTCGCCTGGCAACCATACCCACCCTATCTGTTTGCTGTTGAACGTCATCGCTGATCAAATAATGAGGCGACTGTCGAAAGTCCTTGAAAACCCCGGCGTTCAACTCGTTGCAAATGAAAGCCTTGTCGATCTGGATTACGCGGACCACATGTTTCTCATCATTAGGGACGAAGGCAACTCGCAGACTCTGCTGAATACACTGACCACCATTGAACCATCCTTTGACGTACACCTTGAGTCTTCAAAGTGTAGAGTCATTCAAGGCGTGCACTCTCTGAACATGCCTGTTGCAACTCAAGGAGGAGCACTGTGTGTTCTGTCCGACGAAGTCAGTGCGCGAGTCTAAGACCGAAGTGACGTTTGCCGATTAGCGTCACTTGTGTCCAAAAGGGTCGGGTGTACCAGGCCACAGTGACTGCTGTACTTTTGAATGGTTGTGAGACATATCTCCAGCGAAAATATGATGTAAGGCGTCTTCAGGCTCTTGGCTACCGATATCTCAGAAATGATGTTGGTATTGGGTGGTGTCAGTGTATTCTTAACGAGGCACTTAGGAGACGGGCTTTTTGCTGGGCAGCAGGTACTCCTGGCACCGTCACCTGTGCATGTCGAAACATCGTCCACCGAGACGAGTAGTTTCGTTTTTTCCAGAATGGCTCAAACTTCGAAGTGAATGACGTACACTTGGCAGGAGGTTGTGAAAGGGAGTTTAGGTTGGTAGTGTGAGGAGATTTGGGATTTTTGTGGGATTTCGTTCGGATTTTGTCTCTCTCCTACCGAGACTCTTCGGAGTTTCGTGAGATGCGCACTGCTGATGATTCCCAATAAGAATGAAACAGCTGTACAGTGCTTCTCGGCTTTTCAGCATAGATTGGCTTCACTTACGGGTGTTGGTGCCTTCCGGGATGAGTCCAAGGGTAGTGTGAGGAGATTTGGGATTTTTGTGGGATTTCGTTCGAACCGATTTTGTCTCCTACCGAGACTCTTCGGAGTTTCGTGAGATGCGCACTGCTGATGATTCCCAATAAGAATGAAACAGCTGTACAGTGCTTCTCGGCTTTTCAGCATAGATTGGCTTCACTTACGGGTGTTGGTGCCTTCCGGGATGAGTCCAAGTGACCCCTGAGCGTTTGGCTAGAGACATTGCAGGGATGTTCGAGATGACCCAAGTGGTTAGAGCGCGAATTTACTGACCGGAAGGTCCGTGGTTCGAACCCGACCTCTGCTTCTCGTCTTCCCTGTCTTGGGCTTGGGCAACCTGGCAGATCCCAGCCCGCAACCTTCGGGTGGCATGGCAGCTAGGCACCGAAAGAGTGCTACAGCTCAATGATTTTTTGCAGGGATTGATGGCTGGCACCAGATCCCTCACTCATCCTCTATTTTCTCTTCTTTTCACTTTGAGGCTTCGAAGGTAATTAAATAGACTTTCGTTGTGCAGCAGTGAAGCATCAGCGTCAACACGAATGCTACCACCTCTGATGATTGTGTACCTATATCTACTCTCTCTGTATGCAGTACGAACACAATCTCCAAGTCAGTCCCCACTATAATTCATGTTTCTTCTCGATGTTGAGTTCGAGTTTCCACGATTTTCCAAAGGTGACATTTGTTTGTTTGACTTTTTTTCACGGATAGACTTAAAATATCAACAATGTGTTGTAAAGGACGGCAAATCCTAATTTCTGTTACGTGATTGTCCAGACACGTGCTTACGGGCCTAAAAATTGATCCAGTTTAATTCTTTTCGGAAACGGCACTTAGGCATTCTTCTGGGTCGTGCCCTTTAGAAGTACTGTCTTGTAGGTAGGGGGGACTGGAATTTCCTCCTTGCATTTATTTTGTCCAAGACAGACATGGTGGAGTTAGCCATCGCTATTCCCCCTATTCGAGGGTGCTAATCAGGACTCATCCAGATTAAGTGTGCGTACTTTTATCAATGCTAACTGTCTCGGAAATAGTAACAGCCAACATCCTGGAACTTTGGTGCATTTGTTCTGGATTTCATTCTGTTCTTCACCAAATGCAGGAGTTTTCCAATTTGCGCAAACTCAGAAAAAATTTTCGGTTCACCCCATCTTCCCCAAATTACATTCGTGTTCTTTTTTATAGTAATTAACGACATGAGACCCTGCTATACTATTTTCTGTGTTCTTTTTGGAAGTGGAACAGCACATGATCCACTCATTTCGATCTGACGTGTTTGCTACTCTGAGGCATCGAACAACATCCCCCCACCAGATCCAGATACATACGAGTTAGGTATCTCACAGTGGGCTGAGTTGTAAACATATTTCTTCATGCCGCATCTATCAGCCGCTCACTCTTCATGTTACAACAATGGAAAGTATGATCGGTCTTGTACAGTACGACAGTCAATTAATGGCCGTCGGTGGAAATCTACTCCAATAGGGTTGGATCCTCATCTCAGCTAGTGATTCAGTTCTCCGCGCAGCACTTCTTTGTTCAAGTATTCTTGCCACATGTTGCATGACGTGTAGTCGTGTGCATCGATGCCTGATGTGCAAGAAGTCATACAGGTGAATTCCTTGTGTCAGCGCGACAACCACATACCACAATGGTCGGAGTTGGGACCCTACCATTGTGATGGTTGATATTGAATTTACTAGTCTCAAGGTTCCCTAGCTGCATCTACTAATGAACAACTTTGACTATTGGTTCCTTGTAGAATAGAGGGGGACTAATGTCCAATGTGGTTGGAGGTTGTTTGTCCTCGAATCGTGCGATCCGTTTGGTTGGGTGTGTGCGTTCCTCGAAAAATTTATCCTGTCTTCCACTGTACTCCTGTACACCAGTAGTGTGTTCTCGGACGCAAGACTGAATGAAAATCCGCAGGTAATAAATTAACTCATTCGTTTGACTATACGCCGAATTCCTCATTTATTCTGCATTTGCATCTTAGTTGGTATTCTGTTTAAAGCTATTATTAAGTGTAATCTGCCGCATAGCCCTCTTCTTTCTTCTTACAGGAGTCTGCATCTACGTTCTCTGGAGTCCTAAAGGAACAGGTAGGGATTCGGCTCCCTTCGTTTTCTCTAATTTTCTCGATGATTAATTGCTGTTTCGAATTGTGCGCCAGACAAATCGTCCGTCAGTTTGATATTCATCATCAGTTGTCAAAATTTCCCAGTTTCTGTATAAATGCAAATGACTAGGTTTTCTCATTTGCAAACTAACCTGGAACATCACAAACGAGAGATTCAGCTGGGTTCCAGGTGAGTTTTTCGAAAAACCAAATTAGTTTGCAAATGAGTATATATTCTCTAATTTCGTGCAATCTGGTTTCAAGTAGAACATAAGGTTGATGGAAACCCGGGGACTACGCCTACCTGATGAGCCCCAAAAAGGGCGAAACCGGTCGTGGGCCGTTGATGGATTTTCAGCACAATACAAAGACTAGGTTTTCTGTTCATACTGCGGGCCTTTGAGCAGTCTCCTAGCTGTAGCCACATTCGGACTAAATTCTAGCTTAGACGAACTGCAACTTCTTGGCCCAGAACTCCTAAGAATTCGACAGTAGTCAGGAACTAACAGACCGTTCATTGGTTGACGAGATTGAAAATACGAAAGGACTGTAGAAAAAACAGTCCTCAGAGTTCTATCACAAACCGGAATATGATAAAAACATTGGTAGCATGACTTCCGTGATTACTTCTAGTCGTAAAATTGTGTAAGTTAGTGGATCACCATTTATTCGGACGGACAAATTGTCGTCGCTTTAACTAAAAAGTATGGTTGGTCGATGCTGCTTGATCTGCACGGAATGTGATTTGTTCAGGACCCAGGAAACTAAACAGGTTATGTTCGGCTGTGGGTCACGGCAGGCTGGAGGTGAGCTGAACGATTCCTGCTGATTTCGTCCACGTGCTGATAGATATTATTCCTCCGTCACTTGTTTGCGGACGCTTTACCCATCTGTTTCTTCGATTGATTTATTTTCTGGCTCTATAGCAATGTTCCTCCACAATCGGCTGGGTTTTTAAAGCGAAAATTGTGTACTTTTTCGTTCCCCCTATGCATTTCGATGCATGACGATTTTATCTTTTATACAATCGACTCCAGGCTCCTAATGGCCTGATTCTGTGGAATTAGTATTATCTATAGCACCATTTCGGCGCATAGTTATCATTCCACCCAAAGGAAGCACGCGGACTGTGAGGTACAGATTACCCACACCCATATAGGATCAGCAGAGATGCTGGGTTTGGTTCAAACCACGCACCTCATGGCCTCAACTACTAAGCTAGCTCGGGCTTGAAACCCTCAGTAAACCTGAAGACAATGGGAAGACCACTTCTCATAACGGATCACCTTTGGTCGGTTCCTTTGGAGCGGACGACTGGGTGTAGAAAACCTGGTCTTTGTAGCCGAGGCCATTAGAACATCCACATCGAGCTGCACAGGAAAACCAGGGGAGAAAAAAACAGACGCTTACTTTGTTCCTTGCTTGGTTGTCGCCCCTTAGTTTCCAGTTTCGACTTACAAGAGGTTGCTGATGCGGTGTCGCAGATGTACTACTGAACCTCACAAATCACTAAACCTGCGAAAGCGTGCTCACTTGTCTTTATTTGTTCTCTTCTCCCCAGAACACTCCAATACGTGGACGGATTTTCCGCACACAGGTAGGGCACCTTCACATTTTTACTCACCCAGTTTGTTTCAATCCAGAGTAACCTTGAATGGAATGGAAACTGTTATCATTTTGGTTTAGACCTTCGGTCGCGTACGTTGCTTCTTACGATTCATAATTAAATGATTTATGTCGGATGGTCTTGCGAAATGACTACTTATAAAGCTGAAGCTGTTAGGGTGTGTGGATCCAGCGGCCGCGCTTCGTAGTTACTGTCGCATTTGTCCACTGCAATGGCTAAGTCGCCTTCCCACTCAGCACGAAGCCTGCGATTTCACCAGTTCACCGCAGCCCAGACACTAGGGAAGCCAGCTGGCTGTCCGAACTACTCTCCTTTCGAATAAGCCTTTCTTTCAGGCATGTCGGTCTTTGCAAGCCGACCGTATTAGTTTCGCTAAGTCAGTCAGATTCTCTCCTGGCCAAAAGACCCAATAGCATGGTCAATGACCAGTGGTCAATGTAGTTCAGTCTTATCACTATCTAGAAGAATTTCGATCGCACACTTGATTGCTCCGTAATGTCCGAATACAAACAGTATCATTGTCTTTGCCCTGTCGTACACAGTCTTCTTGAGCGAGGGCTCATCGTTGTCTGGAATCCGCCATAGCCTCATGTATAAATTACACTTTGGTTTATGGTCCAACACTGTTGGGCCAGACATCATCCCTTCCCCCTCATGTAATGTCTAGAAAGAGTGAATTCCAAAGAAACGGAGTCGGACACATGTTCCCAGGTGATCCTTTCGGTTGTCCAGAATAAGGTAGGTCTGTTTTCACAGAAATATTAGGCAGGAAGGTGGGTAGTCATAATTTCAGGAGACCCCCTGTCAGAACGACTTTAATATGAAACGACTACCTCGGTTCATCTGAGTTCAAACTTCTATGTCATTTGGATTGTTCAGCTATATGACTAACAACCAATCGTTCGGACCAATCGCATTTATTATTCTCGTCCTACCCATCGTCCTGTTTCGTCCACATTCAGCCTAGCGACAAAACTCCGATATCACCGAATCCTGCAAATTCCCAACAGACGGCAACCTCAAAGGCTATCAGCTCCGTTCCGTCCACCCCAGTTGTTCAATGTCCAAAACCACGGCAAAGAGTGGGCAGGTCGAAAAAATAAACCGCGTTTCACCCCCCTTTGTGACGTGCCTCTCTCATTTTGTTTTATTCCACTCGTCTTCCTATTTTTCTAAAGCTGTCAGCTTGTCACACGTATATAACGAGTTCATGCCTTTGTGTATGCATGTGCATTTATGTTTTTTAGAAGCTCTTTGTGTATGGTACTCTGTACGAAGAAATTTTTGTCAAGCGATAACTAACTTTCATCGGTCGTTTTAAATGATCCCATCAGGTGGGGAGAGTATGTGGTCATTAACCATTAAAGTCTGTAATTGTTGTATCGTGGTTACGCCTGCACTGATCCTGCTAGACTACGCGGTAAGGAGAAGACAGAGAACTCGGGACACGGCTGTATTGTCAGGACAAAACATACAGAGCTTCTGCGTAAAATATAGGATGACTAAATGGCCAAATATGGTCGTTCAGTTGTCCGTTCTGTACATCCAATCGCGGTTTCCCGGTCGTGAACAATCTCAGCCCCACTCTACCGGTCTTATTTTGCTAAGCCGTGTTGGGTGAGCTCCGCCAACTTACTTGCTTTCTGAACGTGTCGTGCCGATGGTGCCCTTGGGGATGCGTCACTCTTTGCACATCTACTTTTTCCATGTCTGGGCGCGTCCTGACAGCAACCATAGTTTGAATTACGAATCCTTTAACAAAATGACCCAGAAGCAAAATAGTCACTCCATACGCGCGTTTGCTTTGTTCACTATGTCCGTGACGTGACGGGTAGCATATTGTATATATGCATGTAACATCCACTTTTGTTAAACGGAACAACGGTTATGCTCTTTTAGAGAGATCCAACTTCAAACATTTTATATCGGTGCCCGATTGCGCTTCAGCAGGTTTAAATAACAAACTGTTCTCAGTGGCTTTTAGGTGGTGTTGTCAAGTTACCCAAGCCTAGACAGAGCAAGTTGAGAGTCAGAGGTCAGGTTCCAACCAGGGACCTTCTGGTCAGTAAACTCGCGCTCTAATCATCGACCCATCTTGCGCTTTCGAGTATGCGTTCCCTGCACTTCTGACTGGTCATTTTACTTGTAGACGATTGTTCGCTCCCAGTCTTACCAGCTCTTCCATAACGTACATATCTGTGACCTCTATGGTTATACTTGTGTGCTCAAACGTGCCGTTCACCATATTCAGAACTTCGGCGGTGAGGCTAATTTATCATTGGACCGAAAACTAGCGGGGACAGTCAACTGTAACAAAGCACAATGGATGTTCAGTTCACAGTGCCACAGATAACCGAGTTGACGCGGATGCCGTTCCGATCCACACTACTTGGACAATTCGATCGATATTAGGCACGCATACTCAGTATCTCTGCTTTGTCCAGCACGATTACACTCTTTCAGGTGCTTTGTCGGTAATGACATGCAAGGCGTCAATCCAGCAGTCAAGTGATCTGCCTTTGACTTCTCAATGTACGCCTCATCGTTTTTTCTCTCTGCTCTGTCCAGAATAGCTGTCTAGTAAAAGTTCTTAATTCATAACCAACGCCTGATTACCATTCAGCCTCAATGCAACAGTGCAGGTCGACCAGCCTTACCTTTATCAGGCTTATGAGAAGAAAAGAGATGACCAGGTCGGCAGATAACGTGTCCGGTTCGCCTAGAAGTCTGATGGTGAGTATTACAATCATGTGCAATCAGCTCAGTACTCCACTGTGAGGCATGGGATAGGAATTTCAAGGACCGTTAATGTACTTTAACGTCTCGTCATCTGTCTGAGTTGAAAAGTCAACCACAAAGACGTATTTGTGTAGTGCTTTGATGGTGAAGATGGCGAGACGGACCAAGTGGTTAGAGCGCGAATTTACTGACCGGAAGGTCCGTGGTTCGAATCCGACCTCTGCCTCTCGACTTTCCCTGTCTAGGCTTGGGCGACCTGGCAGTATCCCAGCCCTCGTGCCTCCTTCGTGTGGCACGGCTGCTAGACACCGAAGGGGTCCTACAGCTGAACAATTTTGTCTGGCGTTTAGCCCTCTTCAGCTCTCGAAGATCTGCAAGAAACAGATATTTTAATTGGACAAAGTTTCTGTTATGGTACGTTCTGGAAACCCCAGTGACGAGCACGAATGCTATTTTTGTGGAAAATATCGTGTATGGTAGTGGTGGACCGAAGCTGATGAGTGTCTCCAGAAGATGACTGGCCATTAAGTTAGAGCAAGACGGCCATGATTGGGTCTTTATACATCCCCATCCACAACATAGTCCAAGCACTAGAAGCTGGATACAAAAATTGGCATTTTTGGAAGTAACGATATGTTAACATAGATATATTAACCGACAGAGTTTGTCGGAGGGTTTGTCCGGAGGCCAGGCGTCTCTAATAGCCGGAAATCACATCATTCGGACGGATGTGTCACGTGCAGGACACGGACCAAACGGTGGCATGCCCTGATTGGTCAGAATGCCAGCCAATCCAGATCGGGTATCTTCGACTCGACGCTTCTCGCCCCCTCACGGAGATTCTAGTGCGAACTACTGGAACACTCTGTGACTGCCCTATAAATACAGCTTTAATTCTCTCTGGTCTTGTTGCACTATTGATCAGCAAGACACAACAGGATTGCAGATCGTGCTCGTCTTTGGCACCAGCATGAACGCTCACGTCATACCGACACACAATAACACATCATAGCTTGCTGAAAAAAGGACCGGAGTTGGAAAGTCCAAACGATAGAAATTTGTGCATCGAAGATAGCGTTACTAGTGATCAGAATAAGCAAACCACTGTCGGCCGAAATTTGCAGGCAAACATCTTGGAGAAGTGTAAGGAATCAGTCAATTTGTTTAGTAAGTCTTCGAGTGCTGTGCAGATCTGTTTGAGAAGTCACGAATCGGGTGCGATATAACAGTGACCACAGGTAAATGGTGTATTGCCGTCGGCTATTATTGGGTTGAAAACTGTGGTTTCCCATGGTGAAGACGTACCAGATTCGACGACTCCCTTCAGGAGCACATTACACCTTGCCACAGGCCCACCAAGACCTTAAGACAGCATGGATCATTTCGTCGAAAAGGGTTTGTCAGTTATTTCTAGCTTCACTGGCCAAATCTACACACCGTTCGTGGCTTTACTAAACTTCAATATTCAACGTGGTTTGTGAATCAGTTATTAGCAATTTATGTACACATCGTGTTACATTGTCAAGGGAATCCATCAAATAGGCTGCGTTCCTGTGTACCTGTGAGTTTGTTAGTGAAGCACATGGTAACTGAACGTTGCTTTGTGGTCTTGGCGTAGAAATAATAGGGGGAACATCACACCCGAGGACTACATGGGTTACATCCATTTGCAAAGCGAGTTTATCCACGGCGAAAGGCTGCACCATACCTCTCTCCCGTAGATTCCCAAAGACAAGCTAAATAAAGCGCATAGTGATGCAGGTCGTTCTCTGGGTTGCTAAAAGAGTACACTGCACTTGGAAGTTCACATCTGAACAGGCATTACAATGAATGATTCGAATGCCGCTACGATTCCCACCGAATGTGGCATTATTGTGTAATATGTCTGAAAGCCGTTGGAAGAAGACTTTTGTTGGTGAGCAAATTGTTAATCAGCTTCCTCCTGGATGACTGCGCGAGCCAATTTTCGCATCCTGTTGAGAACAGACTCCATGTCAGCTGAACGGACTGCGTGTCTTAAAAAGCGAAATGAGTAAACATGAACGGAAGTTTGCATGGAATTCGATGGGTTTTTAGCGGTAAACCACATGCCAAATTGATCTGAACACCATGTTACGTAAAATTTGTACTCATTTCGGTTAACTCTTGGTTAAACATCGAGTAAGAAGAGATCCGAAACGAGAAGACGTGAAGTAAATGTTGTATGAATATGAAGGCAAGTGTTAATGTTGGAAAAGCATTAGTCCGGCCTAGGCTTAAGCTATCTTTGGCCTCGTGTTTTTCAGGGTCTTGACCTGCCAGTGCTTATGCGAGGTCTAAGTGATGCTTTATCGGTGCCTGCATCGTGCTGGCAACGGCGACTGCTCTTCCACTAGTGCGACACCAAAGTTTGCCCAAATCACTCTCCTCAGATTTCTCCGGACCTTAGTAATCCACCATCTTTTCAGCAGGTTGAAGCTGGGATATTTGTGCCTACGTCCGGTGTGACACCCCAGTTTAGATTGAGCCGATGTACTATCTGATTACTGACGTACCTGGCAGTAGTATATGAAAATAGCATAAACATAAATGACGGTGGATTAATAACGGAAATGTGAGGCCTCTGGGTGAAGCGCGTACTTCATGAAAATCAAGCTCGGGCTGGAAATGTCCTTACCGTAAAATAGGATGCAGTGTGCAAAATGCCAACCGTGTGACTTCCGATGCTTAAGGATGAATATAAGTAGGCCAAGGATTCTCCAAACTCGGCTTTATCGATTCCCTACTCCATCCAGTAAGAGGGAATCACTGGGACAAATGATTCCGTATCGCCGGTTTATCTTATATGCACCCCGTGATCACACTGAACAGTTCAAGACACTTCACCTTAAAGTCCCTGGCGCCGAACACGCTGCCTTTCCTGCAGTGGCTGAAACCTAAATTGACGGTCTTAGCATGCATAGCGAATGAACGCACTGTCAAATCGCATCGCCAAACAGACCTGTTTTGTGTACATTTGTAATTAGATACAGCAATGTAATTAGTATCCCGTACAGTGATTTGTACTCGTTCACCACACATGGAATCTAGTAGGCCCTAACGACCTTACACGAAACGAATTTGTGATTCAATCTTGATCGTCTTTTGAACATAAATCCTGAGTACGTATAGTACAATGTATAGGTACGAACTAAGAAAAAGGAAAAAGGCTGATGAACTACTTTAAGAGGATAGTAGACGAGCGTCCTAATCGAAATTTTCTTCAGAAAAGCCAATGCATTCAAACAGTACTTGGACGCAAATTGGTTAGAGTACAATTCTAAGTGTCTGAGTTTGAAATAATTATGGTTGTGGACCGGTAACCCTCTGCTCATGGTTAAGTAATTTTATCAGGTAAACGCAAAGGAAGTGACTCTGTAATTATCATTCGCAAACGATTGGACACTAAACAAACTCTGTAGTCATCTATAGATCTGCGAGCTTTTCCCTTACTCGCCTTCCAGTTATTATCTCAAAATAATTTCTTGTTTGCCTCAACCGTAACAAGATGAGCGACTTAACTGCGAGGCCATTTTTTCCGGTGAGTGTAAGCGCGCACCGGATGTGAGTAGAGGGGGGCTCGCTCTCAACATACAAGAGAGGCTCGTTCGTCTTCAGGATTTTCTTAAAGATGTTACTGTGCTATTGAAAATAGCGACAGAGACAGCGAAGATAGCGGTTAGGAACTCGGTCTGAAAATTCACCTAGTATGTCGGTAGGTCTTTCAATCTTATGTTAAATTCTGTGCCGTATTTCACCACTAGTACAACGTGGTTTAACGCAACTGGGAATCCGGTATGTGGAAGTGTATGCTATCCGAATGCCTTGTCTATTATCCGCTTCTCTGAAGTCGGGCGCCTAACTGGTAGTAATTCATTTAATAATCAAGGGCGAAATTGTTTGGGGTGTAGTAGTCACTTCCTTGTTCCTTCGACCAACTTCGTTTTATTTGTCTAGTACATCCGTGTTCATTAGATCACGGGACTCCTTTGCTTCGCAAACGCACAAATCACGTGACAAAAACCCGTCCTGTTCGCAAGTCAGTTCCCGTCTTATACGCGTCGGAACGCTTCTGGGTATTATACACACGCCAAACCCTCTTATGCATAGGAAGATACGAGATAGTCATCACACACATACTCGCGCGCTCAGTGGGTAGGGGTCAATCAAACTCTTCAAGTCCATGGAAAACTACGGAACAGGTGTAGCAGCTATACTGCGGAGAAAACACGTCTACCCCTCGAGTTATCCACAAACGATAGGTCAACTTGGCTATCATAACCTGTGCACCAATAAGCGCGTTCATATACGCCAATCTAATGTTGTAGCGCTCAACACCAAGCTTTATGTAATATGGATAGTGGATTACTTCGTGCCATCTGGGAAAACTCATCTCGGAAGATCTTCTGTGCAACAATTTTTCCGCACCGGCCCATTTACAAAGCCTATGGATGTTCGTTACCTGGACCATGTGTTACTTTCAAAAAGCAGATGTTTCCTTCATTCTGCGGTAAACTACTTGACAAATGGGTACCTGACTACAGTTGATCATGTCATGTAGGTATACGTCGAGCTGCTGCAGCGAAATATTTGTACAACCGAATTTCCGTGAGATTTCCACTCCAAGAATACAAATTTGTGCTACGTTTCATATTGTAAAAATTCAGTGACTCAACCTTAAAGATGACAGTTGTACACAAATCCGGGTCTTGTATAGCTGAATTAGCTTGAGACATTGCTTGTGGAATTGCAGAACTATCAGTGTCGTCGAATGGCACAGTAATATATCGCCTTCCAACCGAGTACGCCGTATAGTAACCGTATTCCCCTCTGAAGCACCTCGTGATGCATCGCCGCCAGGTGTGCAACCATATAATGGGAACTTTTTTCCTCTTCCTTTCGTGTGCCTGAGGCAGACATCACCATAATTAGGTGAACTGAGTAGCTGTTATTTGCTAAGCAACTCACTGGATTGGAAAAACGGTTAGTTAATTCCAGAGTTGAAAGCAGCAGGATATTTCGTCGTTACCAGCGTGGTGGTTCTTTACCAAGGCCCTAAGGCAATACCTTTGTAGTGCTTTCGGATTTTATTGGAGTCCGAGTAAGTAAAAGTGAGAACGGCCTAAGGCGCAAAGCAGTGAGGCTCTTCCGGTGCGAAATGGGTGCATATGAAACAAGAGCAACCAATTTTATATTCTAACCAGGTCAACATTCTTTCCCTTCTGCTCAGCTTCAGCCACCATACTCTACTGCTGGGTAGACCCAGTCCCACTTGTTCACTGAAAATAACTCCAAAGACATGAAGTAACCGACGCTGGTTTGTACTTTGTAAAGTATGAAAAAATACGGAAACAATTTGAGAGACGTCCGAAATCTGCCTGTAACTAAACTTGACTCTCAGTACAGGGTCCGAGTGACTACCAGTTTTCAACGCGGTGAGACCGGCAGTTCGGGTACACTCCGAAACCCTCAAATCTTTGGCTAAGCCATCCACCCGAATCTGGGATAAAGTTGGACATCACCTCCGTATACTTGCGTAGCTGTCCGACCATTTTAGATTTTTTATCGATGGCCACCGAGACAAACATTTAAACCGAACGGTGAAAAGTTTCACGGAGAGGCAAACTCATGGGGAATTGTCAGTAATTTAGACTCCTCATCTAGCAAAATGGATGGATGCCCGTCTGTCATGTCCACTCTTGTGGATACTATCGACCGTTTCATGAAGTCCTATCTTTCTGTTGTGACAACCCCCGGTTTAATTCGGGATTTGGGTATTAGCCAACAATAAAGTAAACTATTGTAATTGCATTGTGGCCTAGATTGGTCGAAGCGGTCGATATTTGTGAATCTTAGTTTTGGTGCTGAAGGGCATCTGAACATACCGACACGGAGTACTCGTAGGAATGTTTGCTCGCGTATATCAGTGTAGGCGCAACACCTCAATGTGGAAAACATATATCTGATTATCGCACATTGTCATAGATACTGTAGGGGGCATTGCACATTCTTCACATCGCTGCAACTGCGTGAACGCTATCATGCAAATCGCCGGCTTACTGTGATGATGGACATCAAAGGAGCCGTCTACCCTGTGAATAGCTCGGCTCTTCTTCATATGTTCCGCCAACAGACGAAGTTCCCGAAGACATATTGCGATGTGTTAACATTTTTCCTACTCTCCTCAATTCCGGACTTAAAGCCACACAAGGTGTATGAATAAAGAATAGGAAAGGTTTTGAACAGACACTGGTTTGCTGATTTCTGCGATTAATGCCAGAGTAAACGAACCGTTTGTTTGAATTGATTTTGTGCACATAGTCTGGTATGGTTTGATTTGATCAACGTCGCCAAAGTGAATTCGGAAAGAGTTGATCAGGTCAAATCGATGGCCAGAATTTAACGGATGTCTGGCCATCGATGATGCAGAATTGCGATTTGACCTTGACCCGAGGATTTTGCTGACAGCATTTGGATTGCCTACTTTAGGATGTGTTTTGTGGCACGTCCAGCTAGTCTGGCCTGTCCTCTGTCCGTCCACCTGACATAAGCCTCTTCGCAGCTTCAGAATAGATCAAGGGGACGCAGTGTCTCCGATGTTTGTGAATACTCTGCGCGTCCTTCATTACCAAGCTTCTGGTCGCGTTTGTGCTTACGACGGACTGTCCGTGTACGAATGACCTCACTATGCGGTTTGTCTGCTGTCTGAAACAAGACAGTTCAGCATAGTTGGGGTGTGTTCTGTAAGTGAGGATCTAGATAACTATGTAGTCGTCTCCAATGAGGACGATTAGTATGCAGTCAGGTTCCTCTAGCTTCTACGACCAGCAGAAACAACCGTTGCGTTAGAGCCATATCTCGTGTAGGCTGGTGTCGACGATTCCTCAGCGAAGCAATTAGAAAACGAGTGTTTGTTTGTGCAGCGAGGACTTCGATCGAAGAATGTGTTCGGTGATTAGACCATATATTGTGTATGTCGAACCACCATTTGCCAACCTTTCATCCGGCATAGGGACAGGACAGAGATTACGGAAATGCTGCGTACTGTCGGTGCGAACCGCCCTCCAGGATGGGCCCACGTTAACCCAGTGTACATTAGAAGAGACGCTTCAAAGACATGGCTGCTGATGAATGTCAACGGTGTTCCTGTTTTAGTTACTACCCAGATTGCCTGAGTAAGTTTCTGAAGGTGTGGACATCCCGGAATAATTGTGTTGGGCTAGCATTAAATCCCTTCCCCATCCAATTTCATTCTTTTCTTCATAATAAGACTTCCATATAAAGTACAGTTGAGTGATAGCGAAGCGTCAGTGCTAAACACTGACGGCATGCTGTCGATGATAATGAGATTTCTTTGGGTGAAGCGAGTAAGTTCTTGAGCGATAGACAAAAGTTGAACGATCCTATAAAACTGCGACGGTGCGCCTCAATGTTGCCATTCTTATTTGATGCGTAAGGCGTCTCTGAAGCGAGAGACCAATGAGGAGGGGAGATAGCACAGAATGTGAAACTCACTGAGGTTAGGGTGCCACGCTGGACAAAGACCAAAGGCAAACGGCGAGAAGCGTACATACATGAAATGACCAACGAGGACCCAGTGAATATCGCGCAAAATAATTTGTTATAGTGTGGATGAACCGGTAGGCTACGGTCAACATTGTTTGGTCAGGTTTTGAGCTCACTCATCACACTACGAACGTAGTGTGCGGTGAATTTTTGAATTTTCTAAACCTGAAAAATAGCAGCTTCCACCGGAGGGAGAATAAACAGTCGCTGATGCACAGCTAGTTAAAAACGGGCAATTTCTGTGTTTATTCTTCAGTTTTCATCGTGGCTGCCATTCACAGACACCAGGTAGGACTAGGTTCGTTGATGACTTTTCCTTAAAAAAGGCGTAAATACGATGCTCACTTTCTAGACAGGTTGAAGAAACAAAACTACTAATTGGCGACATGATGCTGGTCCGTATACTTCTGCATTTTCGAAAGCCTTTCTGAAGATGTTTTGGGGATTAAGCTTGTCAGTCTGAAAGACGAAGTAGGAATCTGCGGCTCGTTTGCAAACCCAGAGGATACCCATAGGAAGAATACCGTGAATACCGTTTTTGCTGTACGAAATTAGCTTGGTTCGGTAAGGACCTTTCAGCATTATTTTATTTTTCCTCCGTATGATACCCTTTAAGTGTATTTTACCATAGATACTTCCAAACCTAATCTATGTGTACAAACGCTCAGCTGAGGTAGGGCTCGCTGAAATCCACCGAACTACGGAAGTTGTGGTTTCGTGTATCCTTATGCGCTTCATTCACTGACCGGAAGGTCCGTGGTTCGAATCCGACCTCTACCTCTCGACTTCCCCTGTCTAGGCTTGGGTAATCTGACAGTATCCCAGCCCTCGTGCTTCCTTCAAGTGCCATGGCAGTTAGGTACCGAACGGGTGCTACAACTGAACGACGCGCTTCTTTGTATTCCGTAATCGACAAGTCACATCTAGTTCGCTATATGATACTACCGTATAAGTTGACTTGGTTTATTAAAAAAATACTAGGATTTTGAGTTATGGTTAAATTATCTAGAGATGACTTCCCTGTCACCCAGCTCAAAAAACAAACACACGCCCAGCCTCACCACTCTAATGTCATCGTGAATCAACGTGCCGTAACTGATTCCTTAACTTGGAACGGTTCTTGCTCAGACGTGCGATCAAATTTGTCGTGATGACCGCAATAGAGTCGACTTTCATAGGACTGTTCTGTTGCTCCAGCATATGACATCTAGGCAACTCAACAGTAGGACTGAAAAATATTCGCTCGCTGCAAAAAGACGAGTAGCAGATTCGTCAAGAATAGAGGCACTCGGATGGTGTGACTGATGGTTAAACGGTGGACGTTCCATAAACGAGAGGCGGAGAGAACATTTCTGATGAACTTGTCGGTCCATAACGAGTACACCCGTCGAACAATCGATACTGACAGAGTCAGGGCGATCTTTTTATCGATCGGAAAGAATTTGTCGCGGTGTCATCATATGGTGGTTGTATGGGTCTGGCAAAATTATCAGAACGAACAAAACCGAAGAATTAAACTCTGTGCATTCGATATTAAGTGCTTTAAAGTTGGTAAAACGGCTCGCCTATGCGTTCGTCACGTACAAAGACAGAAAGCCAGAACCGGAGAATAAGCTAATTAACGTAAAAAAAATCACCAGTAGACAAAGTAAAAACAGCTGATAGGCGGAAAGCATAAGGAAGTCAAAATAAAACTGGTAAGTGGAAGAGGTGTCAAAAAAGTTATAGCGGTAAAATCGAGGGAATGACGAACCGACAGCCAGGAGTACAAAGAAGTCATACAGAAATACTGTAAATCAGAGTGAGGATTGTAAAAATGATGATATGTGGCATCAATGCAGACGTTTGCATTTCAACTTTTTGACCAGTAACGCGGGACCCAGGAAGGCTGACGTTCTAACTGAGTAGCAATAGCGGTCAGTTCGTTCACTGTGGTTTCGATGGTGTCTGGGATGACCACGATGTCAAACCAATGACCAAAACGGACCTCCATTTTTCGACTTGTCTCGATGCACATTTTTAGTTCCATATCCTAAAACAAATGGGGCACACAACGCGCAGTTGAAAAACAGGAATGGGGACTGCGAGCCAAAGCGAAATACGTAGCGGACTGGACTTACGGAGCAATTAACTTTGAGACCGAGTTGCTTCTGTATACGGCGCAACTCATCCACTCTCTCGGGTGGAGAAATGAAGATGACGTATGGCATCAGACCGCTGGCACGTATTAGACGCAGGGACTGTTGTGGGTAAAAAGGAAAAAGTAAAATCTAATTGTTCACTGGCTAGAAACTACTCATCAGTTACTCAGTAGGGAGACTTCAACGTAAATGTACATTTTGGTAACGACCGACAGCGTCATCCGTTGTGAACATCGAATAAGAGGAAGTAACGTACACTTGCAAAGGTACAAGCAATAACCTGAAAAATAAGGCACATGTTCATGTTGTACAGTGTTTAGCAGATAGTTGGCGACAGTCGATTTGGGAACGGAGACTGAACAAACACCGTGGGACCAGACGATATTCTTGTAAGTTCGATGTCAATCAATAACCTGAAAAATAAGGCACATGTTCATGTTGTACAGTGTTTAGCAGATAGTTGGCGACAGTCGATTTGGGAACGGAGACTGAACAAACACCGTGGGACCAGACGATATTCTTGTAAGTTTCGATGTCAATTCATTATATAAAAATGTGCCAAAAGGGACTCTTAGGAAGTATGTAAGCGACGGCTACTAGCAGAACAAACACAGCTTACGGTCGATAAAACAGCGAAAGGCATAAAAGCATGCCTGAATTTCACCCATTTCATACAGGAAACTACTCACACGGTCACTAAAAACTATTCGATAGCCCACGACCGGTTCCACTCTTATTGGGGCTTATCAGGTAGGCGCAGTCTCTGAGATTCCGTTTTCGATTCCGTTGTTTACACTCAAGAACAAGGTCTAGCAATGGGATCTCCAATATCCCCGGTTTTGGCAAATATATTCATGGAAGAACTTGAACAGACAGCTTTAGCCGGATTCCCATACCCACCTAAGATATTCTGGCGCTATGTAGATGACACCTTAGTCGTAATGAAACGAGACAAGGTCAGTGAGTTTACAACTACCAGAATGAAGTGAATCCACACATCAAATTTAGTATCGAGGTAGAGTTAACGTTGGGTACACTGGCCTTCTTAGACTGTATGATACATAAGGTCGGGGAAAAATAAAGACCACAGTGTACGAGAAGTCAACCGATACTAAGGCAGTTTCGAACTACTCGTCTGCCCATCAAAAGTCGGTATTCGTGAGTATTGCGTCATCAATGTTTAGGCACAGAAGAAGCTGGTCGGCCCAAATTGAAGTAAAGAACAAACTTCGGGGTAGTGGTTATCTAGCTATTTGATCAGGAGTCAATTACGAAGGATGTTGGTACTGGTAGCGAAACCCAACAGGGGATGGATTGGGACTGCTGCCATTCCATGTAAACCAGGGACAGCTGTGGACATTCGGTGAATTCGAAACACGCCAACATAAGATTGGCTTTCTATAGGGGGAACACTCTGCGCTCTGCACTGGTGCAATTGAAGGATCGCCTCCTGGCAAAGAGAACCAGGGACTGTGTCTACAAAATTAAGTGTAACGACTGCAATAAACTCTATATAGGACAGACGTCCAGGAAATATCACATCAGAATCGGAGAGCATAGAAAAATAAGCAGGCCGCCAAGAAACGCGGATGAACATCGAGCGTTACTGAAAGACTCAGGAATTGTGGAATATGTACTCAACAAAGGACACAAAATATAATTAGAAAATGTTGAGGTTTTGATGTGAGGACTGCGGTCCACGTCACAGAGGCTGTGGGAATCGCCAAGCATCCCAGTGTCAACAGCACGGTAGGCGTGGAACCGGCAAGCGTGTTGAGAAAGATTCTGGATCACTCGAGCTGACACGTGCTGGTGGTCATCAGAGGAATCGCCAAGCATCCCAGTGTCAACAGCACGGTAGGCGTGGAACCGGCAAGCGTGTTGAGAAAGATTCTGGATCACTCGAGCTGACACGTGCTGGTGTGCGGTCATCAGAAGGAGAACTGGTCATCATCAGAATCCCACTTAACGCTCAAGCCCGCAAAGACCAACGAAATTTACCAGTGTGGCACTCGCAGTGAAACAGATTGAAGTGGGAGATTTAACAACCAAACCGGGTCGGAACTAATTTGAAACTCCGCCAACCAATCAGCGCCACAATAAGGCAACCACGCTAACCGACCAAACGCATTAAGTGGACATTCACCACTGATCCAGTGCTGTAAACTCACTGGTTTTCCGTCTGCCTTAAAACATGGCCAGATTGGTGACCTGCTAACTTGGCCAGATGGGAAAAGTTGCTCAAATAAAAATAAACTACCAGTTGATTAGCAAACCCTTCTGAAGGGATGAATTGTCATTCGGTCAAAAACTGTTTCCAACTAGGGGAAAACCCCAATACCCTTCTCCTCGAATCAGATTCCCCTAAAGAAACGATTTTTTCTCTTAGCCATTGAAACAACGAACCAAATATTCAACCTCTCACAAAGGTCCGGGGGTTTGAAGTGAAACGGAGTCGTCTACCTCGAGGCTTGTCCACACAAGGTTGATACAGGAACGCCCTCCATTTTTGCGTGTGGTAGGATGGGCCTGTAAATGAGCCGCCTGAACATTAGCAAGCAGAGGGCGGTGGAACTGAATATAACTGCTACGACCAAATACCAAAGCATTGTCATAAACATGAAAATACCGGCGACAAGTGCAGAAAAAACGTATAGTTTCACTTGAAAGCATACCATCAGCCACAAATGCCGTTCAATCGGAGCAAGAGTTAATAGTGAATTGGCTGTGTTACCGACTTGAACGTCGTGGCTGCAGTCAACTGCAGTCTCTGTAGCATGTAGCTTAACACAGAACATAGGAGTGGGAAAACAGGAGTTGCCAAGCCAGGCTCGCAAGTCATTTGGTTTGAAAAGGCCTCCAGAAGGAGGCGGACGGCCAGTTTCACGAACCTTTCTACCAAAAGCAGCGTAGTCATGTGCGACAGCAACGAGGGTTCTACCGATTTAAGGGGTTCTTTGGATGCCGAAGTCTGCTGAAGAGGTGCCTTTGATGCCTGAGCTGAAGGCAATGGATATGTAACGGCGCAGATACCGGATAGTGAGGAATAGACGGTATAATGAATGCTGCAATGAGAGTATGGTGTTTTAATGGATTCCGGTATGCGGTGAATGTACCGTTATTTGATATCAAAACTTCAATCAGATGCACAGGTTCAGCTGCATCACGAAGTTAGGTGGGACAGAACTCACGGGGAAAACTGATAAAAGATACTCTCCAGCATTTCAATATTTCTCTAAAGTTGAGAACTTCGATATCAGGATCGAGCTGCTTAAAGAAACAGCTAGAACGCCCGCGAGGACAGGCTCCGGGGAGCTATGCCTTGCAGATAGCGGTCACGAAGCAGACAGTGCTTCAGAGACAAGGAAATGAACTTTCTGGAGAATATGACTAGTTTTCGATCATCTGACATCAAAAGTTAACAAAGTCCACGAATTGGTGGTAAAATGGCTCACCTCGGGGCGGAGCGTTATACACACGACTTTGCCCTCGTCCACTAACTTTTGCAATGTAGACTTGCTGGTGCCGTAACGGGCCCGACTGAACATGCCCCATTCAATAAATTCGCCTCGTTTTCGATCAGCTTCAAAAGATTCATCACTGACAACAATATAAGGCACTGAGGAGTCGGATTTCACTTTCGGGTTGGTTGTGTCTGATGAGAAAAAGCATTAACGACTTTTCGCAAGAGGTTCATACAGTCGACACAAGGATATGCAATGAATTACAGGAGGATTTAGACAGACAATGAGTGCCTATCGACTCAGTTCAAGGTCATGTGTGGTTGGAGAGATGTTGAATACAGGGTTACTTGGAGAATAAAGCATTTTTGAACCGAAACCGTGCTCGTCAAAGTGACTGGTGGTGCGAGTAGGAGCAATACGGAGATCCCGATGGAAATTAACTCCGCGGTCCTAGAAGTTCTGGGTGCTGCAGGAAGTTGGACCTTTTTTGATGCATAGCTCCTATTCTGTAACAGCGAGTTGAGAGCGAATTCACATTTATACGTCTAAATCTCCACTATAGACAGCTAACCACCAAATTACGCCGAAAATGGTTGTCACATTACCACCGATGCCTATGCGGCATTCAACATACGTAAATAGATACCCTAATTTGAACTTCCCGGGTTGAAGAATGAAACGGGTGAATGCGAACCGAGCAGTGAAATTGCAATGCTACGTTGGAACAAGCGACCATCTGATAATGCACATACAAAGCGAACTTCAGGATTTGTGCAAGCGACTCAATAACGCGGTTAAAGACGAATAAAGCATGCTCCACGCGTCCGTACAATGTCGGAAAACCAGAAGAAATCATATGCATAGTCGACATAATGATCGTCAATTAGCATAGAAAATTTTCTGTGCTCTTCACTTTGTTGCACGTGATTAAGATTGAGTTGCATACAAAGTACAAACGACAATCTGCATTTGTTCTGTCGATAAGGCTGATCACGTGACGATAGTCCTGGACCAATCAGTCACTGAACAGTCCCATGTAACTCGGTTAGTGTTAAAATCTTAAATTATATGGCTGTTAAGCTGCTGCTGTGGTAGACACTGAAACTCCACCGCCGGAGCATGTGGAGGAGCCTCATAAGCGATGCACTGTACGTGTTTTTGACCTGAGTTTTTGGCGTTATAACACGTAGTGCTATTTTGGTGATTGTTTTGACGGGAAAATATCGTTACCACCCTTATGGAACACAGAAGTCTGTGGTATGCTGAGGAATCCTGACAAAATCTGCATTTTGCACTGGGAGTTTGTTTCAGTGTACCAAAAACAGTTTCGCTATTGACCTTACTTTTCGAAGGCTGATTCATACGCTCAGTGGTTAGAATTTACTAACCAGAAGGTCCGTGGTTCGAGGTCCGAGCTCTACCTCTTGACATCCCCTGTGTGCAGTTGGGTAACCTAGTGATATCCAAGCCCTCGTGGTTTCTTCTGGTTGCATGGCAGTTAAGCACTGGAAGGTGTGCTACGGCTGAACGAAATGACTTAGTAGTATGTTTTTTACCTCCGTAGTTTGGGATTATCGTGGCATTGAATGAGCAGAAAATTATCTGCGAAAGAAACTAGCTTTCTTGACAGCCAACGCCTCTGTAGTTTTTCTGGGACAGCAGTTCTTTTCAGACTAACGTCTTTCAAGTGATTGAGGGTATCCATGGAAGTCATGAGAAAACGAAGGTAGCGAGCGAATCTTGTCAACTGCGATTGGTCTATTAGACCAGAAATCAAGTAGAAAGGTTATATGAAAACCACAAGCGCGAGTTTCCTTTGGATGCAGAGTTTTGGGACCCCTGAACTTGGTTGGTAATCAAACACAACCCTATGGTCGAGAAGTCGAAATGAACTGCACTGAAATTAGCGAATATGCACTCATTTGCAAACTAATTTGGTTTTCGAGAGACTCCACTTGGAACCCAGCTGAATCTCTCGGTTTTGATGTTTCCAGGCAACTGAATGTGCTGCACCAGGCCGCCTCATGTTTTAGTCGCTACGATATTCGAGATATCGTGATACATATATTTTTTGTAATGCACTACTCAGAGGTTGCTATCGAGGAGTTTTCAGCAACCTTATGAGTAGTGTATTAGAGAACTGCATTGAATTATGGTGACCCACATTACGAGTCTCTGCAATGTTTCCACATTCGCATCACGCATTGTCTTCATGATGATCATCAATTTATCGTTACTACCTATAAGGATACTATCTAAAGGCTTGTCTGAGAATATGGTATGATCAAGCATTTGCTTCCATGGCGCAAACAAGTCCGTTTAGTCGAAGCCTCGTGCTTTGGGACAAAACTAACATAATAAAAAAATCAGTAATTAGAACGGAACGTTAAACCCACGGATAGGAGCAGGACAAAATCGGGCCGGGTCCACATTGATCAAATTTTGCATCAATTGATGTCGTCCTACGTGAGCCGGCCCGACGAACACAAGAGGGCGCCTCCTCAGGGGTTGTGGAATGTATTGTGCCACCGGTTCATAGGTCCAAAGGCTTGAATGTGGTAAATATCCTGCGGCGACCTCCTTATCGAGCCATGCAACAGGGTCTTCGTCAAAATTAGCTGTAGTGTCCGGAGCTGGGAATGATGACAAAAAATCGACTAAAAACGCATTTAGGGGGAGTTCAACCGTTGAGGTTAAGCGAAACAAGGCACCTTGTAAATATAACACTCGAAGATAAGTGTCCAAACGACATGATGAGCTCTAGATTCGATAAAAAAATTGTGTTAACGATAAAACTCAGCAAGCTGCACGAAGATCACCATCGTTGTTGTTAATTGAGGTACGCGCACTCACCAAAACCAACAGGCGATGCCGTAGGCAGTGAGAAACGCGTACACATACAAGCGCGAAAAACCGATAGAGTGAGGAACCAGACTACGTGTGATTCTATCGGGTGGGCGGGCACACGAAGTATTGACCGCGTGAAAGAGAGCAACGGCCACTTGTTGTGGACCATCGCCATGATTAGCATAATGGAATTACGAGTTCAGCTGCTGAATTAGTCACAGGCACACAAGGGCGGATGCCTTATGATTATATGTGGCCAAAACTGCACAGTTAGGCATTCTGGTTTGGTTGACCAGCCGGCTGACTAACGTTCAGCCTGTACGCATGGGAGTGAGCGCGAGTGGCCGCGTATATGCTGCGAATGCGTTACAAACAAAAACTCCACACCAATAAACTCCAAAAGCGGTAGATTTCTCTACACGCCCGACGACACCAATGCACCGTCCTAAATGCGACGGAAATCAACAACTAAAAGCAGTGAAAAACGGTCAGGAACTCACCAAAATGAACAGAAGGAAAATAGCTCGTTTCAAATAAGCCCTTCTTCTTACCCCGAATTGCGCTGAGGCAAGGAGATTTCACGCCAGCTTTGTGAGCTAGACGAGCCCGACGTTCCCGTCGCGGTCGCACATCGTAGCCATGTTGACCCCAAACAGGTCCAGCCGCTGAAACATACAGGATAGCTTGGAAGATTCTCAAGAGACTATGAGAAAACGAAAGAGGATTTGCTCGTGTTCACGGAGCCGGTCGTTCTCATCAGTGACGGTAAAATCAGGGTTCAATACCGGTGCCTCGCTGCTGTACAGTTACGATTGTTTGGAGTACTGTTTTTGTTAAGATTTTGCAGAAATCCTCGACTCTAGTCGAATTTTTGGACGTGATATTGGGGAGTCGATTTAGCAGAGGTTATCAGATAGAAGTATAGTGAAAATGAAGAACAAATCTAGTGCCAACATACCAAAAACGACTCAAGGTGCATACATCTACATGCGGTCAGTAATGAAGATAAACTGATAAACAGAAGATCCCTGACCTTCATTAATATACACATATGGCGTAATCTCTATCCTGGAATGGTCATGTGAACAAAATCACAGCTCTTCTCGGTCGACTTTACAAGCATCTATCAGGCCACAGGTTACACGCCTCGTTGTTTGTACTATCCTAGGAGGACATCATCAGCATTCTTATCGCAAATGACTAAACAACTGCAGCGTGCGCATGTGTGATGTGCGACAAGTAACTCCCCTGAATTATGGTTAATGGTCGTAGTGTGGATTAGATGCGTCCCCCGCTTTGTCATCGTTAAAACGGTCCCGTTAGCCTTCATTCTCATGATAAACAACCGCATGAATACACCAAGTACTAGGATGACGATTGGGACAATGGGACTGGTTGCTGAATCACGTCTGTCCGCCTGATTCTTACACATAATAGTATTTAGTCAAAGAATTTTGGCCAAATTTGACTAAGTGTATGTTTGTGATCGAGTTCCTTAAACAAGAGTGTTGGAAAGGTGCACGTGGGGCGAAATAGCCCAGGTGGTTAGAGTGCGAATTTACTGACCGGAAGGTCTGTGGTTCAAACTCGACCTCTGCCTCTCAACCTCACCTGTTTAGGCTTGGGCAACCTCGCAGTATCTCAGTCCTCGTGCTTCCTTCGAGTTGCATGGCAGCTAGGCACCAGAAGGATGTTACAGCTGAACGACGTGAAGACGCATGCTAGCAAGCCTTCGGACAATGTGGAGTGTATCAATTCTGGCGTCACAAATAACCTTGGAGCTCGACGTTATTATTTAGAATTACAATGAGTAGGAAAGCCACCCTACAAAGCCGAGCATCAACAGAAGAAAAAGACAATTTGAGTGGAATGGTAGGATTTTGAAATCTTGTTAACAAATTTATGAATCAATAATCGATATCCCGAAAAATTCAAATTCTAACTGGAAGCCAAACAACATACAGCCGGGTCATGTGGACCACGATGGACGTAATATCTGATCAAGATCATTTTGCGTAGTCAGCGAAACTTCAACATTGGTGAGCACATGTGATCTCGAATTTAAAGCAATTTCAAAGATTGGAGAAATGTCAACTGCGTGAAAAAAATGTTGAAAAGATAGTTGGTGATGGAAGCCAAATGTAGAATGACGGATTGTTCTAAACAGCTAAAACTGTACTCAGGGACGTGTCCCTTCATCTGCATCTTATGCCTCATTGCAGTTCCACCTGGATTAATGGTATCACCTATGCGGAGATGTTATCCAGCCAGTCCGTGTTGCTAACTCGCAACACGCGCGATACGACACAACGGTCATTAAGGTAAAGGATGGAATGCACACGCGGCAGAAGCGACTAATAATAGATCAACTAGATGGCCGGGCAGACCGATTACACGGACATCGCACATCTATTCTGCTTGAAATTTTCTTAGACCAGTTCAGCCACATGTCGTATGATTCGACAGACAATCTGGAGTGTGAAGAATCGCTCAGTAGGGATGGAATGGGGTTCCATGGGGTACAGTTCGCATCTCACGCAAAACAAAGTTAGGGATAGTAGGATGTGAGGTGGTGACTTTGAGAAAACATGCATAACAATTAGGAACATGTCCTGTCACCGGACCTGTCCCATTGTTCCGATCGACATTCTGGAACCTGGTGTAGTCATGCGGTTAGTTATCATCAGATTGAAAGTTAGCGGGACCGTTTAAAAGAAGACAAAATAGAGAACGTAGGTAATCGACAGTATCACCATTGACTATGGCAATCACGCTATTGGAGCAGCTCTACTGAGGTTAAGCAACCATGCTCAGTGTCCCCAATTCATCCAGTACGACTATGGCCTTTCACCAATATGTACATAAATTCGTTGATGTTGTGAGTAGGGATCAGAGGTATTAACACAACAGTTAAATGACCTGCTTTTCGGTTCACATTGTGCTCTTAATCCACTGACCCCGGGCGAGCATCTGGTTAACATTTCCAACTCATAACCGACGCTTGAGCACTATACAGCCACAGTGAGCTAGTGTCGTTTGATTGTTGTAATTGTACAGTCATGTCTTGAGCTTCGGTCCCACTGAATCCCATACTGTCGTACGAGTGTTCTCTGTGTACGACGCAACGATAACAACGGGCTACTAAATGAGCATTCGGTTTACTGGAAAAAGACACTAAATCGAAGGAGATACGTCGATCTAGAATACCACGAGATGGGTTGTTGGTTTGTTTGGTTTGGTGAGGTGTTAGCGATGTTGCCCAACTCAGTACTAGTTCGTAAATATTGATAGCGCATACGTCATACACTAGTGCCTTATTGTAATCTAGTGTCTGAGCCACATTATCATCACCATCGACAGCATGACATCAGTGTTCAACACCGATGCTTCATTGCCACACAACCATGATTTATTTGAAAACCTTATTATCAAAAGAATGATAAAAGTGGACAGCGAACGAACTTAGTTCTACACTATTATAATCACTCCGAGGTGCGCACACCTCCAGATACTCATTCAGGCAATTCGCTAAAAGGTGACAACATGAACACCACTGACATCGATCAACAGTCACATCTTACAGCGTATCTAACCAGGCACAGTGGGGATCACGCGGTACCCATCCTGGAAGGCGAGTAGCACCGACACCACCAAGATTTTTCGTGATCTCTTCCATACCCCACTTAGAGCTCAAGGGTTGAACACTTCTCTGAATTAGCCATGGAAAATAGCACTCTCCTCGACGAGCGATGGTTAGGCATAAGCAATTCATGGCCTAACCAACGCAGTTTCTGGTGCTGGATACATTGTTCAGTGGAAGCCCCAGATAACTCGCTTTCCAATTGCCTCGTTACGGATTCACCGATACCAAACCACATGAGCTATGGTTCCCGGACAACGATTGTCGAACACGTCCCAGTTCCGCTGCTCGAATAGATCAAGCTTCACAGCCATAGAACAAAACAGCCTGCACACGTCTCTTGAGATTCAGGGATTCACCACTCTGACGACTTAGGTGTCTGAAATTCGCAAACACGACTCGGGTCTTGCAGATTCGTACATTTACTTCATCTGTCACACTACAATCAGGATTAAGACAGCTTCCAAAATAGTAGACAGCACGTCCACGAGCATGACCTTGCACTTTGTGGGTCCAAAGTGCATACCAAAGGACGGGATGAGTTTGGTCAGTTCATTCAAAAACACCTGCGCCTTCTCCTCCTCTTCGAAGGTGAGAACGATGTCGTCTGCATATTCCAGATCGACGAAGCTTTCATCACGGGCTATTTGAAGAGCTTTAGACGTTCGAATCATGAGATTATCGAACATGAAATTATAAAGGAATGGAGAGAGTTGGTACCGCTGACGGACACCGCTTTGTGTACGGAAGCTATTGGAGGGCACTCCGTATACTCTCACACGTCCGGAATTCGAATACAAATAACGCATTAACTTCACAAACTTTCGGTGAACTTCTTTATGGACAAGCTGGTAAAGGGGAACAGATCAGTCAACCGAGTTGAATGTTCTTGGAAATCCAGGGATAGTAAAGTTGTGAGTCATCTGTAGTGTGACGTTCTGGCACCTGATGGAGAAGATTTGGTCAACGCAATCCCTACCAGGCCGGGATCCCGATTGCTGCTCTCGAGTCGGCGTTTCACGAGCCACTGTAAGGCGACGAAGCACAATTGACGCCAACAGTCTCGTTACGACCGCGGTCAAGCTGATCCCCTTTGGTTACCACACACAATACGAGCCCCTTTTTTGAAAATGGGCACTACCGCCAACTCTCCCCAGTTGTCTGAGACAGACTCCTTTTCCCAAATGCAAGCAAACAGATAAAACAAGCGCTGACTGAGGACTCCACCCCCATCTTCAAACAATGAGGATAGGGGGGGACATACGGACCAAAAGCTCGGTGGCGCTTGAGAGAATAGGTGCAGTCGTAAACCTCCGAGGGCGTAGCAGGATCCACGTTCACCGTCCAGGATTCTACGTCGGCTTTAGGCCGCTGGTGGCCAGGATAACTGTTGCTGGAAGCGTTCGGCCCAACGGTCGATGCATTCTTTATTCAAGATGGTTACTCCATTCCGATCTTTGATGGTTTCACTCACAGTTGGTTCCCGGGGACCGGTCGCACGGATCAACTGCAATAATCTTCGGGCATTATCGGGTTTCTGGGCCTCTTCCATTTATTTGGCTTTCTGTGTCCATCATACTTCATGGTCGGATCGCAAGCTCACTTTCACTTGACGTCTAAACACTCTTCGCGCCGGGTTCTGTTCAGGACCGGCTAGGATATTTCTCCGAGATTTGAACAGTGTCACCGTTCGGTCTGATATCCAGTGCTTGGGTGCGCCTGGTTGGGTCGTGCCACAGGCAAAACTCCCAGCAAGATGCGAAGAAATGGCGACCGCGTCGCTGTATGAATTCACATCTGATGGTGGAGCAGTTAAAAGACTACAGAAGATGATTCTGATAAATTCGTCTAACACCTGGATCTCGAAGTCTCTCAGTTACCAAGCGATTTTCCCGTACCTCACGCTGCCCTGGAAAACACCGGGAGAAGCGGCTTCGGACGAGCGCGTGGTCAGAATCCACAAATGCGTTGCAACACGAGCGTCAGTTAGTTATTGGTTTGCGTCATCGGTAACTGATGACAATGTGATCGATTTGAGTTGGTAGCCGGCCAGCCGTTGGAGGAAGATTGGTTAAAAAGTGAAATTTTATAGGCATAACTCAGACGAAGCGTGTTGGATCCAACTAACCAAAACCTCAGAGAAACGGGAGTTTCTACAGCGGTACCACGTAAAGAGTACTCAACATCGAAAAAACAAACAGCGGTCGGAATTACGCTTTTTAATCTCTGGGTAGCGAAGTCAGAGATTCGTTCAGCTGTCGCACTCTTTCGGTGTCCAACTGCCATGCCACCCGAAGGTTGCACTAGGGCGAGGTTGCCCAAGTCTAGACAGGGGAAGTCGAGGGGCAGAGGTCGGGTTCGAACCACGGACCTTCCGGTCAGTAAATTCGCGCTCTAACCACATGGGCCATTTCGCCCCCGAAGTCAGAGGACCAGCCGCGTAAAGAACACCCAGAAGGGTGGAAGTAGGAGCAGAGTGTTTGTCTACACGAAGTTAACCCTCCTGATGGGACTGGCAACTCGTTAACATAACTGTTGATCCTATACGGAAAGAGAAAAGAACATTGACTATGTCAAACCAGATAGAACGCAATTTTGAAAGACGTGTAAAGCAGGTGCTAACTGGGCAGATAAGTAGTTCTCGGTGGTACTCAGGGGATCGATGGGATTGGGAAAAGTGGCTGTTATCGCCGTGTGGCACCTGAAATCCAGCTTTGGTATCCGTGTTACGCAGCCAAGCAGCGGGTAGTTGAGCCAGACTCCAGGCGAGAAAGTCGGCTGTCTGAAATAATCCAGCTTCAAGACTAGTTGGACTTTAGGCTACGCCTGATTGATGGAAGGAAAATTTGGCGTTTAACACCTCTCGAAGGTGATACTGAGGAGAGCAGGAAACTCTTCAAAATTCCATTCAAATGTAAGTCAAAGCGGAGGGCTGGACCTACTACGGCTACCACTTAGATAAACAATTTGTGGTACACATGTCTGTGGACTACGGATAGATAAATATCTAATATGATATACAATGATTAGAAAAGACAGAACAAACTGCCACACACCTGCCCACTCCTCAAATACACCCTCCGTTAGTTGACCGCTCGGTCTTACTTGGCCAGACATACGGCCGTCGTAGATAGAATTTATCAGAGTACTGTTCACTAAATACTGTGCAGAGTTTCCAGATGCGTCAGGATCGGCCACGTCCTTTGATTGGCCCGGTTCCTCCAGTGTCCCGCCTGTCACTTTGGGCTGAGAAATTGTGGATCCAGATTTCTTTTTTCCAAAGGGTAGTTTAATACCCAAGAAACGTTTTTCTGAAGCCGGCGCAACAGAGGAGACATTCTCCTTGTTCTCTCGATGTTCGGACTCCAATTCCAAATCAGAAGGCTCGTCTTCCAATTCCACATCCTCAGATCCGCTGTTCAGCCATGATTGTAATCGCAGAACAGCCCGATGTCGCTGATAGACTGGACTGGGAATGAGACCAGCCAAAGTTCCCACAGCCCCGGTAATTCCAGTCTCCTCGTCGCTTCTGTCAAGTGGAGGAATGGGCAAATATAGAGGTCATATGGACAAGGTGACACCCCGGTGAGACAAAATAGACAAAACACCGATCCGGAAAGGAAGTAGTCAACGGAGCGAAGTGTTGTTTTTCAGATACGAAGACAAGACAACACCAAAAGTCACTAGGGCAAGATTGGCAAAACGGAGCACTTCGGTATCCGAAATTCACTGGTCATCAGAAAGGTCGAGGAAGATCGAAAGAAATGACCACCATGACACGTCATCCCCGACGACTTTGAAGAGAGCACTTTATAAGACGAGAATTACAAACCACGGTTGACTTGAAGTGGTTTAATACATGTGTGGGCGAAAATGCCGGTGAGGGTACAAGAACAGCGTCTGAAGAGAATTTCACTGGGTGTCCACTTTAAACTTAGTCATTTAGGATATTGCTTGTTTCCGCTTGTCATGTCATCTTACGGTTCGAGGTTTTTTTTGGAATCAGCCACGCACTCGTGTGAGAACTTTCAGTGGGTGCGTTGAAGAATCGAGTGGGACTATGCTGTGGGATTTGCTTTCAGCTCCGATAATAGCCGAGATTCTGCACTGCATGAGTGTATAAAAGCCCTCATTCTTCCAGCCTTTTCTCGAAATATACGCAAATGGTATGCTGTGATGATGAGAGCGGGAAGCGTAGAAACTCAGTGTGAAAACTCCTGTGTCGTTATGGAAAACAATCACCGTATCAGTACATTTGGGCATCACGACAGAGCAAGCTACCCTCACCTTTTGCGGATATCATCGACACAAGTCTTGCAAAAAGTCTTGTTAAGCTGCCCGGCTAAGTGGCGGTATGCTCTCCAGTGGGCAGCACGGCCTGTCAGGTTTCTAATTACGTGTGACTTGATGAGGAGTTGGTACCCACTTTCATTTCACGTTGTCCCCTTCCATTCTCTCCCATAGCTGTGCGACATGAGTATTTACTAGTGATATACTACTGCCGATGACGATAAAGAGACCTCTCGAACTTATCCACAACCGAGTAACGTCTTCCGGTTACCAGCAAAAACAGGAACACGCTGAAAAAGGTGCGGGTGTATCGGTGGGTATCTGACACCTTTGAGTAAATAGCAAAATAAAACAGGTCTGAAAATTTGGAGCAAACTGGGTCGCGTGCCACTTAGTAACCTCTTTGGTGGGAGATTATCGTATTTGAAACTGATCTACAGATTGGTGGTCATCCAGTGGTAAGGTACGTAGTAATGAAAGTGGATGGGCGCCCTATTTCCACATGCACGTTAGTGACATCGCTCGACGACCGATCGTGCACTCGGTTCCCGTTTGTGTGTGGACTATGTTATCAGGGTGCCCCGATAGGAGGACAACTAAAACGCTAACCGAAGCATCTGTCCCGAAAACCTGACCGCAATGCAAGACGATTGGCGTTGGAACACCGCAGGTCTTCAACTTTCAGCGAACCATTCGCAACAACCATAGGAGCCAGGAAAGTGCGACATTCCGAACACGACCTATCGTCGTCGGGTGGTCAAGCGGACAGGATAGCCGGTTATCACCGGATTCGATTCTCACACGGGTGCCTTCAAAATGGCTGCTGGTTTTTGCACAAATACTCTGTAAAAGAATGTTTAAGAAACAAAGACTTAAAAACCCTTTTGAACTCTGTGGCCACTGACCACTGCGGCAACTTCGCTACGTCCATTCAGTTCAGTCCATTCAAACAAATGTTTGCAGCATCTGGATCAGTGTCATGGCATGACTCCATAATTGGTCGGATATGTTAAGCTCGCTTGGTATACCACGCGTGTTACTAACGTCTCGATCAACTGTTCACAGCTATTTCAAAGCCATTCGCCTTCAGCTATCAGCGTGTTTACATCGACCCACTGTCCTCAGAGTCATATGTGTAAATGATGTCATCCCAAAGTTTGCTTTGAAACCAGCACTTTTCACAAAGTTGATAAGCGGCCAACGCGTCGTAGAGCGTTCGGTCCTGAAGGCACCCGTTAGGTTTCTACAGCAAAATCTGAAAAATTCGATCCCTTCTAAATGATAGTAATATGCTTCCAAATGAATAATTCGTGAGGGAAGCTTACATATGTATGCAGTAAAGTACAAATGAACAGTGGTTCTGTACGCCGACGCATCCACGAATATGAAATCCTCTGCATTATTCAGAACATAAAAGATCAAAAAAAGAACATGGCAGATCTGAAGAGTCAGGCTTTAAGTCCATCAACTGCCCCGCGAAATTTACCGATATGCTTGCCACCAATTTGGATCACGTCGTCCGGTTACGTGTAGGATATCACCCTTGGTAAACGAAAGACCGAGTTCATGGCAGGCCAGGTACCGATCTTCATCCGGGTCGTAGGAGAATAAGGCACGCAGATGGATCTGATTGGCGAAGTGAGAAGAGCAAACAATAATGTTGGGTAACGGTGATCAGACAGAAGATGTGGCAGTACAATGGACCAGTGAACCGGCCTGCTGAGGACTGATAGTGGCAAAAACAGAACATCAATTGAACAGTAGACTCATGCATAAAGGTTTCACTGATGATCGGCACGAGTCGTCAGCTCGGTGTATGGAAATGTGACGAAGCATCTATGTCTGAGGAACCACCGAATTCGGCTGGTCCTGGTGGCACGTACACTGGAGGGGCACTAGAGAAGACGACCGCTGTTCCCGGTTCGCCAATTAACGAATCAGAGGATTACGTAAGTCAGAGGACAACTGCAGAATGGTAACCCAAGAATGAGTTAAACCACTGAAGAGACACGAGTAAAGGAAATTCTGCTGCGATACTCATGCCGGCTCATTGTTGCGGCTACCGACTTGAAATGCAGATTGAGACCACCATTCTAGTAGATGGGGCCCGCATGCCTCTCCATGGACTGGCACGATAGAATGGTCTGACTGATGCTTTGGAGGTGTAGGCTCCGCGAAACAGTTGTGATAAGTCCCTTGCCTTTTACAACAATCAAGTTAGACAACTTGTTATTGTTATAAGACGCTCAATACTGGTATCAATGCTGATGAAGAAAACCAGCAAGGGAATTAACGATCGCGTGTGGTTATTGCATTTGGATAAACCTCGCATTCCAAAACAAAATCCATGTAAATCGATCGGGATCCAATCTGAATTCAAATTCCAAGCGGTTGCATCAAGTGCTCCAGCTCAAAGTTGTAAAGTATTGTTTTATGAGGAGATAAGATTTATGATGGCCCAGCAATGACTTGCTGGTGTTCATCATTCCCAAATTCCATCTTTTTCCATCATTCGTTTCGAATACTGAAGGCTAAACGTAATAATCAGGATATAATGAGGTATGTCCTACTACAGAACTCAAACCGAAAGTGAGTTTGGTAAAAATAAACACGCAGAAAGCTTACGATGCCTCCCATAGGCGATTTGGCGAAGGGATCGCTAGCAGGTGCCACCAACAAAACGACCCTCCCACGGAGTGAGGCCTAGGAGAACAGAGAGAGAATTGAGGTAAGACACAGAATGACAAGTTCTGACAACATTGCACTTGAATCGAGAGAATAAGCTTTGGACACCTTGACTTCATCTCGGTTTCCAAATGACGTGCTAAACCGTAGGTCCCACCCCATTAATTCGTGTTTTTTCGTTGACAAACGTGATACAGACAGAATAGAAGTCTCATTCATTCAGGAGGATCATCCTCGGAGGGGCAAGGGTAAAAATTTTCAACATCCAGGAACCTTATGTGTTCGTATGTATCTCGGTCGGACAGGGCGGACTAAATTCGAAGTATGTGGTGATAGAAAAGATATTCAGAAAACGAAACGACCCTAATCGTACGCCAAGCAACTAACATGGGACCAGTAATCCCTGTATAGATAACCGCATTGGCCGAATGCAGCATCGGAAGCAGATGTTCATGAATCTGTAAGATAGGTTGATTTTACAAATGACCGATTCTTCGTGCCTGTTCGGGTGGTCCACACCCATGCATTCGCCAATGCCTGAGGGGATCTGACTTGACATCGATCGGTCTAATGGTGTGGTAGGTCGAAAGAGCAATCCGACATTTATTCAACTGAACCAGCCGATTAACCACTCTTACTCGTTTGACCGTGTCTACTGGGAAATGCACCTTGGCTTTCACCAACTGGACGCTCTGGTATAGATGAGCGTGACGACATTTCGGTACGCCTTCGTTCACAAACGAAGAAACAAGGAACTCCTCGGGGTCAAATCAATAAAAGTCACAAGCCGGAACTCGGATGGACAAAGGTCACTCCAACATCGATCAGACTACGACGGCGAGGGATGCCAAGCCCAAAAGTCACGTGGGTATCGGCGAACTAGGACACGGGATAAAAGAACAACCAATGGGACCGCCCGATCGAATAACTAATCGCGGTCAAAGGTCAGCCCGGCTACCAAGTACGTATATCAACGCACAACCACTAACCCCCCGCTACGCACAACTACCCTCCCCAATAACGCACTGACGATGTCACTTCAATTGGTGACGAAACGTTTGCAATCAAATTGCCCAGCTCAGCGAACAAGCCAACGACCATCTACGCTACCTGAGCTACCGACATTTTCCTCTATAGAAAAGCATGAGAACTCACAAGCCACGATTGTCGTTACACTCCACCAAGATCAAAATGATTGGGGCTTTGTAGATGAGACGTATCGATTTCCCCGGTGCACTGATTTACTGAACCTGTCTATTTCCCTGCTATTGGCACTACAACTGCTGCAGTAAAGCACAACGATTATCGACACAGACTGCAAACGAAAAAAAACGGAAGAGCGATCAATTCTACCGGAAGGAAGTTATCCAGTGAAACAAATGAATGCGGAGTGTAAGAACCACACATCAAAGCGAGCCACAAAGGGACAAAAAGACTCATGAAGAAGCTGTTTCTCAGCCAGCTAATCACGTCAAAAAAGTTATATAAACGCATACAAGTAGGGAGGAGGAAATGCCAGTCTGATCTCATCATTGAGTGCGATACGTTTTTAAGCTAACTGCCAAGTGCAGAGATCACGCCAACAGTCAACTGACTAACAAACAAAATAATGTTCTCATGAAGGAAACTACCCGCGTGGTCTTTAAGAACTCTTCGACAAAACTTGTGAGTAGGTTTCGTTCAGCTGTAGGACCCTTTCGGTGCCTAACTGCCATGCCACCAGAAGGAAGCAAGAGAGCTGGGATACTGCCAAGTTGCCCAAGCCTAGACAGGGGAAGTCGAGTGGCGGAGGTCGGGTTGGAACGACGGACCTTGCAGTCAGCAAATTCGCGCTCTAACCAGTGAGTGTAGAAACATTGAGGTGCGCCGTATACAGACCGAGTCAGGCAAGGCTAAAGCGAGGTAATTTACTATTCGATTGGTTCCTGGAGATAGTTAGGTAGTCCAATCCAATGAAATTAGCGCGTCGGGGTTTGAAATTTATAAGAACACAAATAACTTTCCCTTTATAAGCCTAGAAAGGCAACGTGATATTTCATGGTGGTCGTCTGACGTTATTGAGAGAAGGGTGCATGTTCACAAGACAAGCAGTGTCACATTACATGTATTGGGGCCGAATGGTGTTTTCGTGAAACCATGGGCAGTGTTGGTATAGACCGACTCATTGGAATCGATTAGTCAGATCGGCTAATTCACGAAAAAACCTGGATGGATGCAGGGAAATTAAATTACAGACCGAATCGCTCCTTGACTGGCAACCACAAAACAAATGCAAGTGGTCACTGCAAAGACTATCAATTTGCTGTGGGACATGAAAGCCCTTAGAGCTTACTAAAATTTCCGTGGCCGTCTTCAAGTCTTTTCCAAGCAGTTCGATACCATTGGCAGTCAGCAGTTCATCACCTTCGTGCAGTAAGTCTAAGGAAGAAAACGATAGAACTTTCAAGGTAAATATTTCATTTAAACAAAACGAACATCAATAAATGTCCGTAAAGCAAAACAATAACTAACGGGTTTGGTAGGTGCGTGGAAGTCCTAACTGGTACTTATCCATCAGAACCAGCAAAAGTATGGATCACGTGTCCGATCCACCTGACAGGTCTCAATGACGACGGAAGGCCTCGAGTGTTTCAAGACAAGACAGCTGCTTTACTAAAAGTAATTTGACCGCATTTAACTGTGCTCCTTTCATAGCAGTGGTCAATAGATTTGTCCGACTAGTGGGCATATCAGAAGAATAAAAAGATAAGCTTGACTTTATATCATACAAAATATTTTTCTTTTCTTTTCTTTCAGCATTCTTGAGAAATCCATACTTTTTGGTTATATGGGAACGCTCCTAAAAAGCGCCCAAGCAGTCTGTTGCTTTAGTTATATTTCCAGTAAATTCATCTGGAACATTTTTGGTGCTCGGAAGCATACCTGACTACCACCGTGTTACGAACCCTCAAACCACAATTGTGGTACCGAATACTGAATGCTACAATCGGCATCCTCTTCGTCGTTTTCGCTCTCTGTCTAGATCTCAAAGATAATCTAACAAGAATCTGAACTAACAAAAACATGCAAATGACTACGTAGCGTAAGCATTATCAAAAATAGCCTAAGAGTAAGTGTTCATCTTAGGAGTAGTGGGTCTACCGAGCTTGGCCTGCTTACGGAATCCGCACCTGATATAACACTGTATACTTTTGTAAGACTGGTTGTTCCAAGCATTCAGGTCCCGTGGTGTTGCGCCTACTAATGACCCGGTGAATAAACTATGCAAAATTGTAACTCGTTTAGGCCTAACACACTACTCACAAAATTGCAGAGAATTTTCGACATTCCTCGGCCGGTTTCGCCCTTCTTGGGGCTCATCAAGGAGGCACAGTCCCCGAGTTTCTGTCTACCGTATGTTCTAGTTGAACCCACATTGGACAAGTATTTTTATTTGCACACGAATTTCGTTTTGACAGGAGACTCAGCAGAATCCACCCGAATCTCTCGTTTACGATGGTCTCCTCCAACCTTAACCTTAACTGGATCTCATATTCTCACTAAATGTGTGACAAAAGCTGTTACCGGTAATGGATTTCATGAACTGAATGACTCTCCGTCTGGTGGTAACAAAAAAGACGTGTTTTGTCAGGAAGGTCAGATTCCTGAAAGCAACCACTGAATGCTCGGAATTTACTGGGACCCTCAGCTCCACTAGATGCTGACCAGACAGACAAAACCCTCTCAATATGCAGCGTGTCACAGCCTTGTATCAAAGCCAGACAGTGTGAGTCGGCATTGGACCAAGTTCATACAGTATCCCTCTAATAAAATAGCTTGAGGCCGTTGTATTTTCACACTCACGGTTTCGCACTCGCTTGTTTGGAATAAAGCTGTTGTGTTCCCTTAGGTGAGTCTTTTTTCCAGCACTAGGTACTGGAGCGGGGCCAGCAGTCAGACAGTACACATTGGTGAATCAGCAGATATAACACGTTTAGATGTGGGAACACCAGCTTAAGATTGCCGAGCTGGATAGGTTCACTTATCCAAGAATCAGTGTTTCCACTTTTATCGGATCATTTGCTATTGAGCTCACGGGGCCATAACTCGATCATCATCCACAATTTCCGATCTGACTCAAGGTGTACACCCAGCGTGACGGTATCCACATCATGGAAACACTATGATCTGTATTTGACTTCCATCAGGTGCGGTAAACCTTACCTGACATGGCAACAAAACGATCCCTTTCGACCGTCTCGGGTCTATGCAGAACTGGCTCTCCTGGCGGCCTTTGGAGCCTCTAACAGCTTCTTCGTTCGAGTTTCATTCAACGAATGCACTGGAACTGAATTGGCCTTCCTCCAGAACCAATCAGTGATTGACACTTTTAGTTTATTGGTAATGTGAGGAGATTTCGCCCTGTTAGTGAAGCCAACTTATGCCGAAGAGCCGAGAAGCACTGTACAGCTGGAGCTGGATGTTGCAAACGTGTGGAAGCAAGCAAGACATCTGACAACAACCAGAAGTTCTCCATACAAAGTAGAATAAAAGCAGGATTCAAACTAGTCACTATATGCTAGATAATGTAACCGTCAGGTTCCACTGACAGGATAATGGTTTCGGTGGATTATGATTGCCATCCACACGGAAGAATAATTTAGGTTGGATGGGACATGAGACATCTGACTAAATTAACTCACTTGTTTTTTGAGCCAAGCCGCCGTTTATGATGCGAGCGATTAGAATGGAACGCTTTTCTACACGAACGGTGGCGCCCTGTGATAAAAGAACAGTGACAGGCTGTGATAACATGAAAAAAGAACGAGACAAACAATTCCGAGGCAGCCGACTCAGACATCAATAAACGACCCAGGTCTGGGGAGTTCCGAATGTCGTCTGTGTCTGAACACCGGCGACATGTCTAGGTGTGCAAGTCCTCAAAATACACTGGCTCAAATGAAATCATGAACAAGCCATCAGAAGCGTCGCCTTACCTGCTGTATACGGCAGGGCTGGTAAGTCAAAAACATGATACTGCTGACGCCTTCCTTCTTCTGCATATTCCTCCTCGCCTACACCATCCCAATATGAGTAATGTTTCTGCAGGTCCAAGCATTGAACATGGCCGCTTTGTTTGCAATGCACCGCACTTATCTGAAATTTCTGCGCATCCGATTTCACCAACAGCCCTAAATACTGTTAAATTAAATCTAAATTCATCGAAAGTCGATCTACTTATCTGCCTTTGTTGTTGGAAGCATGCGGGGACAAGATATTGCATCTCCTCGTACGCTAGATTTCTTCCACATCGATTTACACTGTCTATCATAAACAAGAATCTAAGACGCAGGTGCTGCAGTTGAATTAATTGTCCTGTTGTTCTCCATCTACTTCTGGCTGCGCACCCCTGGTGATACAAAGGCTGCTGTAGCTATATAGGCCATAGGCGGAATCGTCTCCAAGTAATCGAATACCAACTGGTAATCGCCAACGAGCAGCTAATTTGGCACTGTCTATGAACGAATCTCAAAGGGAAGGACTGTCGTCCCCTACTTATTGTGGTTAGTCGATATCCTGGTTCCCTGTTCAGAAATGGTGTTGGCAATTGTTTAATCAGTTGGGACGGGCCTTTCCACTCCGTTGTCAGTCTAGAGATTGTCCGAAAAATAGATCCTTTAGCATACACTTCGGCCAGAGTCTCTTACTATATGGGACTAGTTCGCTCATTTCGGGGAAGTTCTTCGCTCTGAAAACCACTTTGCGCGCCCCCGCACTGCCGATCCGATGTTCCTAACAAACCCGAACAATGCTCCGGGCGTCATACGTGCCGAGTGCTGGCAAAACCTAACCCACTCTTTCTGATTCGAAATGTTACCTCGTCGCCAGTCAATCCACCAGAAATCATACTGCTTGGATAAATGAATGTATCTACCATACCGAATGGCTGATCTGGAAGAATGTGGTTTGGGTTTGATCACACTTTGCACTTTACAGGTGTAAAACACATGACCGATTGTGCGGCAGGTTATCAAGGAGAGGAATGTCTTCCGAGTGACATGTGTGTGTGAACGAACGCCTCGGAAGCATTTCGACCCTGGAGCTATAGGAAGCACGTAGACAAGTTTAAAGCAGCAATGGCAAAGCTGGGGGGAAATGAGGGCAGAGAATGGGTTTGCCTTACACCACCAGACCACATGATCTATGATGAAGATGTACCGTATACGTGTATGCACCTATGGAAGTCGGTGTAGAGTCCCACCATGTGAGACACGAATTCAGATATGATACCGGATGCACGTTGACAGATGAAGTCAGTGCATGCATCACCAAAGCACGAGTACTATATGCCAAATCGCGTCATTTTCGGCTTTTTGAAGAAATATGACCATGATTAGGAAATAGTGACGTGAAAGTAGTAATATTTTACGGTGCTAAAGCTTGGGTTTTTAAGTCTGAAGGTCTCAAACGTCCTCAGATGTTTGACGACCGACTTCTCTAGTGTAGCCGGTGTTTACTAGTTGCAACATGTGCGTGATGAGATGGTCCACAAGAGAGCATCCAATTAATTTGAACAGCAAATACCGCTAATCAGCTAAGGATGGTGGGCACATGTAAAACCACTGTCTATCCATAAAAGCGTTGTTTTCCGATCTAATTCATCGTTGGCGAAAAGTCCGCACAGGACAAGTCAGGATGTGACGAGCTAAATGAAACCATCTACCGTGGATTTTTCGCGCTTTCCTGAGTAACTCTGCCTGCGCCTGATTGTAGACTCTTCGTGATATGGCACGTCGGGGATCCTAACAGCGTGCCTGCTGTCAATTTTCAGCCGGACTGCTAGTATGTCGTTGTATGCCGGCCTTATGTCGGAATTAGTTCCGCTAATTGCTTGTTGGTCCAACACAATGGCTAGATGTGTTTGCTTCAGTTGTTTTGAAAGGCGTAGGCGGCGGGACCTTCTCCGTTTTCTCTAGGGACGCGGGGCTCCTCGTAATTAACAGGCCCTCAGTTGTCCCCTTCCTTCCAATCGTGTACTAGGGCCTGCTTATTTCATGGTTGTGTGGCAGTGAGGCACCGATTTCCACCATTGGAATATTACTGTCGATGTCGATGACGATGTATGTGTAGCGGGCTGCATGAGACGCTTCGATTACACCATTCAGTCGAATAGATTATAACACAAAATTGAATGGTACACCGTTGAGGCAAACGCAAAGTCCATATGTGATATCAACGCAAAAAATAATCCGATCGCGCGCAGTTAATGCGGTTTTGTTCCACTAGCTACCGTTCACCCTATGCGATCTGACAGCAGTCGATTCCGAAGGTTACTCATACGAAGAAAGATTGGTGGAACGAATTAGGCTGCAAAAAAAACTCACCAGGAACTCATTGTCTCCCTTTTGAAACACAACATACTTGAGACGCACTCCTTGCTCGGAGTACGAATCACGTCCATTCTCATCGTAGGCCAATGTTGCGTAACAACCCGGTAGCACACTCGGTTCGACGTCAGGGCCTACTGGAAACGAATCGTCTGCAGAATCTCCACCCTCGGAGACTGCTTCGTGTTCCACATCTTCAGTTTTCTTTTGTGCTTCAAACAACCATGTATTGGCTAGGCCATCCATTGCCAAAAACAAACTCTGCATTTGGGGGACAAGAAAAAGTACACAGTAGACATTCTAGACAGTGAAGGAAACGATCAGGCAAAAGGATCCGTCGCTGTTTACTATTCAGCTGAAAGTGAGTCGGCAGTATCAACACAAACGTTTACGTTATTGTATAACGATGATGAATGAAAGCTAACAGTCGTCTTCAGTGCCCCGTCACTGCTAAGCTAGCTTTTATCCCGTGTCGACCATACGGCAGCTGAGGTAGTGATGTTGGGTTTAACGTTAGTGGCTAGGCCATTGTGAGGCGGCTCGGCTAAGAATCAGTACCAGACGCGCCGTAATACATCAAAGCACCGATCAACCATAAAGGGCGTTTTAGTAGAACGCTTCCCCCCCCCCCTTGTTACGAGAATTTCAGAAAGGTGTTTCTTGGCCTGGAATATCAAAGGTTCAGATGGGATGCAGGCTAGAGATTCGTAAACGTCAATCAATCAGCAGATGTACTTGGATGTTCCGAGTACAACATACTAGCCCACAGCAGATTTGTTACCCACCAACTGCCTATTCTTATCTGTTACTGACAGCAGATATGTAGTTAGGATGCGTGTGTTGACACTGTACTGTAACCTACTCAAGGCTTATCAGTGCAATTTCTTACAAGTAAAAGGGCAGAGTGGTGGGATAATATGTGGTTGTACTTTGCGTTCATGTAACAATTGTTTGATGTCCTTTCTTTGAAATCCCCCAAGGTTGCACACGCCGCATATGCATGACACGCGAAAGTGCTTGCAGGCCCACACACACATCACAACACTCTGTTTATGGTCGAGACATGTTAATCCACAGAATGGGACCACGGACACGACGATTGGCCTTCAAATGATGAGGTACATAGATCGGACAAACAAGTGACCGACTGGATGTTAGCTGGCAAATCTATCATAGATAGTATCAAGACCGTTCACACCGGTGTATGCCAACGTCTTTCGTGCCAACGATCAACTGTATTTGAATCCTACTGTATGTGCTTGGCCGCGGATGTGGTCTCCACGATTGTGAGCTTACGCCTCGTGAAGTCCATTTGAACTAGTTCCAGCAGGTTCCAAAATGTGAGAAAACATACGCTGATCATTCTCGGGGGTTATGAAACGGTAGTAAACCTTGTGCTATTCGATAAAATACAAACGGGTTTAAGCATCATATTCAACTGTAAGTGTCATAAAGGGAGTAGTGGACCAAGTTGCCATAGCATTCCTGTCGCAGCTATATAAACTGCATTAACGCGGTAGCCTTCCTGTTGGATAATTGAGGTTTCTCTTGAGGTACACTCCTTATCACGAAGTAGCTCTGTTGCGTTGTCTAACCGTTTTATCTAACCGTTTTAGCGCATGGTTAGGAGTCTTATGTAACTTACGGATGAAAGTGAAGAAACAAAGCAAATTGTAGATCCAAAATAACATTTACTGCGGGCACTCATCGTCGTATTTTCTGTCGTCAACCAAGAACAGGTTGTCAAAAGTTTCCTACTGACTGACCATTTAAAGAATGTACAAAACTATTGTGTTTATTACCCCTGAAATCTGTCTAAAGACTGAGAACGTGATCACTTCCATTCATCACCCGTAAGTGATTTAGACTAATTTCTTCAGGATGGACACAAAGTAATGCACAGTGCGAATTAGGATGAGAAAAATTGCATGACTGGAGCAGTAGCATTCTTAAAAACTCATCTACAAACTGATTTGGTATTTGAGAGACAAATCACATGAATGTCTGATTTATGGAGATCAAGTGAAGACACTGTGTGGAGGGTACCTCATGTTTCGGCCTGAATGAAATTCAAGACAGTGAAGTAATTTTACTGATCCAATAATGAAAACCGTTGAGCAACCCACTACTGGTTCTGCATTGTTTCGGAGGTACGCCTATCTGATGAGCCAAAAGGGTGCAACCAACACTGGTCGAACAAAGAGTTTCCAACAAGTATTGTTGTAGCATTCTTATTCCTTCCCATCGTACCCTCTTTGGGTAATACGTGGTGCACCAAGCCGAAAGCCATCACAAGAGTTATTCAGCTGTAACACTTTTTCAGTGCCAAGCTATCTTGCCATCCGAATGAAGCACGTGGTCTGAAATACTGTTGGATTTCCTAAACCTAGACAGCAGCAGTCGAGATACAGAGGTTAAGCTCCAACCACAGACATCCCGGTCAGTAATTTTCGTACCTTAACTACTGACCTATCTCGAGGTCTCCGGCTATCTCTCGAAGCTGGCATTAACGTCGAGCTGCCAGTCAACTAAGCATCTAGTTGTATACCACGAAATTGGACGTGAGAACGCCTTGGCCCCCAGACAATCTACGATGTGACACTGGAAACCAAACTGGTTAGCCATCTTTACCGAGCTGGAAGCGGACAGCTCCGGTACGTGATATTCAGGAGCCGGCTTACCATCCAGTAGGAATCAGCCTCAATAAGTGAACTAAAGTGGGGAGTGTATTGATTATCTTCACTGAGATAGTCACGGCACGACTGGTTGAAAGCCCGCTATCCCCAACTATCCCCGATCTTCTCGTTCATCAGAAATAATGAGAGCAGCCGAAGATAAAAAGGTGTCTACTCTCATGATGTCACTCTACACCGACTTCCATAGGTGCGTGCGGGTATACGGTACGCTTTCTCCATAAGTCACCACATCAAGTGGCGTGAGGTGGATCAGTTCTCCGTCAACACCGCCTTTTCTGATGATACTTTCAACTTCACTGCACGATTGCTACGACTCCGGGGTCGAAATAGCTCCTGATCCCCTCAAGGACACGAAATGTGTTGAAGATGTTTCTTCCGTTATTTCAGATCCTCTAGCTATAGGAGCTATTTTGAATAAACGGAGTAATCCTGCCACACAGATTGTCATGCGTTTTCCATCTGTAAAGTGCAAAGTACCACTAATACGAGTTGGCGAGATCAAATCCGAATTACATCCTTTCAGATAAGCCATTCGGCGTGGTAGATACATCCATTTATCCAAGCAGTATAAATCCTGGCGGAGTGCCTAAAGGCAAGGTCAGATATTGAATCAGAAAGAGTAGGGTAGTTTTTTTTTACCAATTTTTCGACACTTGGGACGCCCGTGTGACGTCAGCTTGTCGAGTACATTATACATTGATGAAGTGCGACCCATGCTGTTTTGTGGACCACTCGGGTGGTATCTGTACATACAGACTGCATGTAAAGCATTCAGGGATGACGGTCTGTGTTTCTGAAGCATTGTTCGGGTATGTTAGAAACACCGGATCGGCAAAGCCGGGGCATATGGAGTAATTTCAGTTTCAGAAGGGATAACATGGTGGCATGTAACTGGATACAATGGTTGGGCGAAATACTTCGCATGTTACAGGGTGGTACACCTAGCGAGGAGTCCTCTTTTCCCATGCATATGAGGACTAGAGACGACAGAATGGTGCAAGACAATCGCCCAGGTCGAAGGTACGATAGCACTAACCAATGAACCACCACAGGTTGGCAACTGTCATTTCTTCAGATGGATACTCCAAGTGTGACACTGACAAGCACACCTGAAATCGGATGACAACGGAGCTCGTGCACGAAACTAATCGCTCAGAGTGGGTGGCTGTCGGATTACTCACTTTGCCAGGCAACCAAACTGTTTTTTCGCAAACTGACTGGTTAGGAAACTGCCTCTAACGCATGGATCGCCCTAGCTTAATTCCTCCATTTACCGGTGAGCCCAGAAAGCTCCGAGATATCTCAGTGGTCAAGGTAACAGCTTACGGACCAGAAGGTTAATAGTGAGTGATTCGAACCCAACCTCAGCATCTCGACTGCTCCTGTCTACGCTTAGACAACCCGATAGCATCCCAGCCCTCGTGCATCCTTCCGTTGGCGTGTCAGCTAGGCACCGAAATCGTGCTACAGCTGGACGATTTTCTATTGTTCATATTTTTTGCATGAAGCTAAATAGCTTTCCGAGCACGGATTATAGTAGAATAACTGAAGTGTTCTGGCAAATGACTAAACTTTGCCCATTAATTGAATTCAACGGGAATAAAACAGTTCAGTCAGAACCAAAGCACCTGCAAGCTGACAGAAAAAGGCTTGGGAATATACACGACAGAGAGAGAATTCCACAGGTATCACCATTCACGTGAACCTAAATGGGTGGAACGGTTTTGAGTTGGCCGGTATCGATGACGGTAAAATCCGGAATATTTTCGGAGGGCTATCGAAGGAACAGGATATCTAACGCTGCCAGAGACTATCCAGGCCACCGTCCCAAGTCCACAACACTTATTCTCTATGATTTATGCTAAATCACATAATGGCAAAGTAATCGTCTGGTTCGCGTTGTCTAATAACCATTCATTTCAGGTCGGATGCATTTTTACCAAGAAATATGCATCCCAAGTGGCGTGCCGGGTTTTTTCAAAGACTTACGAGAGGAACCTACTTTGATACAAAGGTTGTGGCCCGAGGTGAGTGCTGAAATTCGATGGAGACACCAAAGAATCAACTAAAAGCAGTCTCTTCCGAGAACGGTCCCTCCGGAGTGGGGCACAATGACAGAAAAACTGTTATTTCATGAGTAGATTCAAATAAAAAACCTTCGGATCAAGAGTACGCTCCCAAACTTCAGAAAATATTGTTTGCTTAAAAGAATACACCTAAATAGCAGATAAAACAATATCAAAGTAGTCCATTTTCCTGACAAGGGAAACAAACGAACTTGGAATAATAACAATAATCGTTCAGCTGTAGCACCCTTTCGGCGCCTAGCTGTCATGCCACACGAAGAAGGCACGAGGGCTGGGATACTGCCAGGTCGCCCAAGCCTAGACAGGGGAAGCCGAGAGGCAGAGGTCGGATTCGAACAGCAGACCTTCCGGTTAGGTAAATTTGCGCACTAACCACTTGGTTCATCTCGCCCCTGACACATGAACTTGGAAACCTAACAATGGTTCACTTACCCGGAATCGTGGTTTCCCCAGAATGCTGTGGAGGTGTGACAAATGATTGACAGTGTAGGCATCTAAAGGGACGGGTCGCTGAAGAACTTCCAACAGCTGGGTTTGGACGGCCTCTAGCACGTCGTAAGACATTCCAGGGAGGACAGGCCAACGGTAGCGTGGCTCAGGGTCCAAGGCCTGCTTGCACGTCTCGTATGCGCTTGCCACACGGTCATGCATGAGAAAACCTTTGGCCAACAAAGGATCCGACAACACACCGAGAAGCCATTCCCACTGATCCGCATCCGTTGCTTGCCCAGTGCCTTCAGCACTTCCAACTGCCTGGACTTTGGTTTGCAGATAGCGAATGAGTTCGGCCAGTTCTGTTGGAAAGAAAGGGTGAAGATGTGCGTACGGAGCTCAGCGAATGTTTTGGGTTAAAAATACTGAAAGATGGATAAGACTAAACTGAAGTGTTTTTAGGGGACACGCTAAACCTGAGGGAACGCATTAAAATATATTAGTTTTGCTACGTCGTATGATATTATACTACTTAATAAAATGAGTCATCCTATTAAACTACACTCCATTATATAGTATGTATATATATGCGGTACATAGTATAGTACATAAATAGTATATTTAGTATATATATAGTATATATATAGTATACAGTATATATAGTATATAAAATATATTATGAGATATCGTTCTACTGTATAGTGTGTGGAATCCGATCCGGATTCGCTTGTCAACTGGTTGACTGAACGCCTGCACATAGTTATGGTAACACAAAAGGTTTGCTACTGCGGGTGAGCCAGTGAAACCTATATAAACCTGGAAGGATGAAATCAACAGGCAACCTCGCAGAAATCCGTTGGCAGATATAAACTGGCCTAAGCCTGACGCCATTACAATGAGTACGAGCTCAACATCAAACAATGAGGCGTCTGTGTCATCCAGCAACTCCCTCACGTTCCAGTTTAATACCACACTTTCCCCCGCGCAATACCATCTGCAGGGGGCTGCCGAGGACGGACGAATTGAGTTTTCATGGATAAAGGGAAGATACGAGTACACTGAGGGAATAGTTTCATCTGTTGTGAACTGAAGCAAACATATATCAGCTTACTGTTCGACGCTTCGCGACTGATACAACAAGAGGGCTAATCTGTTCCACAAGTCCAATTTCGTTCATGCAGATCCACCCACAAGTTGACCTGGCTCACAAGTTTATTGATGTTAGCATGTTTGTCGCGACTTACTTACGTACGGCAACTGATCGGCGCCGGACTTGTTCATGCTCTTAAAGTTAAACTAAACCGAGTTGAAATATACCTCCACATCGTACCTTCGGTCCTCATCGGCCTCGCAGACAATCCTCCAGCTGCTCACGAGCAGCTAATGGGATGTGGTCCGATGCGTTCCAGATTCCATGACCTGTTATAAATTAAAACACTAGGATTCGGTACAGTTTTCCCCTGAATTACTTCAGTATGATGGATCCGGTCTGAACTATGAATGCACATAGGCGTCTGAGGATGTTGCAGGTGAAATCCGTCGAATATTCAGATAAGACGGCAGTACACCGTGCATGTCTCACTACCGTAGAAGATGGTTAACGTAAGTATAATGCAACTTGTGTGCGATCGTAGATGCCGACTGCCACAGACATGTTTATGCAACCTTCTAAATGAGACGCTAGCCTCTGATATTCACCAGTCGTGGACCTTTGCGCGACCGAAATAGCAAAAATCTGAGCAGCGCGCTCAGATTAATTTCTATGTTCTGCAAATTTTTGTGTCCCCTTCCACGAATAGGTTGATACAACTCAACCCATGTAATAACACGTTTCCATACTGATATACGCAGTTATACAAATTTATATATATACACTATATGATACACATGTATATATACAAATATGCATGCTGTGTATACATGTAGTTACACTTAAACCAAAAGAGGATTCGGTACTATCAAATGATGTCGTCGGACGCCGCATATCCGCCACAGAATGTGCCAGTAGAGTACAATCGTTAGCAAGTAACGACGCACCAACCCTCAAGTTGCGTGACATTCGTTGGGCTGGGAAGCGTTTTGACTAGAATAGGCTACAATCCAGACAATGAGGAATAGCCACGCAATCTCCAAACTTACTAAGACTCTGTGTATACTGCAGCCAGATGCAGGCCGAATGAATCTTGCTCCTAAGTCAATGTTGATATCCTGCGAGACTTTTATTCATCCACAACAATTCCATTCATAATGCTTCAAACGTTAGAAGATCGTCCATATTGCTCTTCTACTTACGTTGCGGTATTTGAATCGGCTGGCCCCATTCAACGATAGATGGCCAGTGTGAACAAGTAAGTCTTCCCAAATAAGACATTTTGAGTGAGTGAGCATTGGACCGTTCCAGGCGTCTTGAAGTTGTGCGCGCTGGGTTTTAGGTCCATGGAACTCTTCATGGAGGTGCTGCCTGAGTACGACGGGAGCTCTTCACTGCGTTGCGCCCACCATCCATTCCTGGGCTTAAGCAGGCGTTTCATGAGGCCCCTTTTCGTAATTCGAGCGGGGGAGCTGATGAGGTCGATGGGCATGCTACTGAAACACGTACCCTTCTGCTCAACTGTGAAAGAAATCAGTATCGCTTTTGTAAAACCCACCATTAGACGCTGATTTCTTGATCTCAATTATCTACAGCGCAGCTCCATGCTTATTCTCACTACGGTCAACCGCTTGAACACCGTCTTCCTCAATGTTGACCCGACAGTTTCATGGACATCACGTCACGAATACCGAATCACTAAATTTTCAGACATTCAGCCTCATAGAATTCCTTTCTGTACCACGATGGTGTAGTTTTCTCAGGGTGATGAGTACCGCTCGTACCAAGGAATGGTGCGCGCTGCATCCACCGCCAAGTATCAGTTTGGCGTGAATGCCTTCGAAGTCTCATTGTCGGACAGTGATATAGTCTATAAGATGTGTTTTCCTACTGCTCGAGTGAGTCCAAGTAGCTACTGAGACGACCGTGTTAGTAATGATCACCAAGGCCACACGCAGAAAGAAGCCGAGAACTTTCGTTTATTGATCCGATCACGGGGGTTCCTGGTACATTCTTCCATGTTCGCGAATCTTGACTAATTGAAACATTAAGATCCTCTGATTGTAACAGATGATTACCAGTGGCCATGGATAGGATGACGTTCCATTACAGTAAAAAAAACCCACCATTTTCCCCTTCAGAACGAGATACTGTGGGTTCATAGGTTCACAAATATAGCTGAACGCCGTCTTTTGAGGTGAATTCGAATTGATGTAATTCTTGTACTGACACAGTTTAGCTTGATGGTTATTCTTGCAAAAACGTTTTCGGACACTGCAAAATGCAAACACGAGTCCCATCAACTGTGCTTTGTCCGGCTTCAGTTTCGAGTTTTTCATGCTTCACCAGTCTTGTCACGTTCCACGCCGCAATGTCCACACACCAACGTTCCAGTCTCTTGGCAACTAGTGTTATTTGCCGTTCATGACTATCACTGTCCACTCTATCCAGTGTGGTTCTGATGTTCCAAGGTTCAAGCTCAAGTTCTCCAGTGATGGTCCTCCGTTTAATCACGTCTGTGGAAGCCGGTTCGTCTTCGGATGTTCCGCATAGAGATTTGGAAAGGTTTGAAGAAATCCACCAAAACCTACAAGCGTCTCGGTCCGGCCAGGTAGGTTTTTCCTGAGGGGCCCTGTAATGAGTCTAAGTACCGAAGGCCTGGCCAACTTGTTTCTGGGAGGCTGGAAGAGTCCAAGGGCGCGAAAAGTAAAACGCGTTTGCCGCGTACAGCAAATGCGTTTTAAGGCACACTGGGGTTTTGGTTTTGGGAAATACTTCGACCGTACTAGTTAATCCATCCGCAGATACGGCTAACCTTTGATGATTGGAATGCGCAATTTTAGCGGCGGTCTTTTTTTGACCTGGGAGAAAAGGCGGCATCACTGCAGTACAAGCACGGATGTCGTCCCAGAAGGAAAACCTTACCGTCCCCGCACTTCTGCCACAGCGGACAATAGGAAGTTTTCTCCAGATCACCCCATAATATGACTGGTCACACCATGATGGTCCGTTGGTTGCTTGTCGCTGGCCTGTAACAAGGCTAAGGTCGTAGAAACGGATACCCCGGTCAATATATGCCCAAGCAAGCCGTACGATAACCACAAGGTTGATGTTTTAGGTCCAGCAAATCACGTATTATAATATCAGTAAGCTTGTGAAGCTGGTTCTGCACCTACATGAGCGAAATCGAGCTTGTGAGACAACATTGCTTCCACGCTTCTTGTCTGTCTACGACAAACCACATGGTTCGCCTAAACAGCCCCAGGCAGATATGACTGTATGGTACTGTGCCGAAGAAGTGTGGTGATGGTGAAGGAATTGACGGATGATACCAGCATCTTATTGTTAGGTGCGGCGCTAGTGTACATTGTAATGCCGTCAGGCTTAGGTCCATTGATGTCTACCAACGGACCTCTGTGAGTTCACCTGTCGGTTTTATTCCTTCGGACTTAAACACGTTTCATTAGCTCAGCCGCAGTAGCACGTACGGCTCCGCGCGAACCATTTGTGTTACCATAAATATGCGTAGGCGTCCAGTGGACTAGCCGTTGTTAACAGCCATGTCCGCATCGGACGCCAGTCAACCATATGATAATAGAATGCCGGTATTTTCTATCAGCTTGATATTTCCTTGACATATAAGCTCCGAGAGAACGTGCCACCATAAGCAGAACGATCGAACGCCAGCCATTTTCACCTACACCTACAAAGAAATGTGCTTGCTGTTTTGTTACAAGGTATCGGAATGAAAGCCAAAGATTCATTAGAGATACTGAAGAGGACCTATTGAAGATATGTGGTGGATAGTCTTTCCACGACACATGAACCGAAAGGTACGCAAGTTACGAGCTAACAAGTGTACACGGGGAAAGGAAAACCAGTTCTAATAATCCTGAGTTGCTTCCAAAGACACTGAATTCTAAGAAATAACAGAAATAGCCAGGATCAGCCTCTTTCGAGTCTAATAATAATAATAATAATAATAATAATAATAATAATAATAATAATAATAATAATAATAATAATAATAATAATAATAATAATAATAATAATAATAATAATAATAATAATAATAATAATAATAATAATAATAATAATAATAATAATAATAATAATAATAATAATAATAATAATAATAATAATAATAATAATAATAATAATAATAATAATAATAATAATAATAATAATAATAATAATAATAATAATAATCGTTCAGCTGTAGCACCCTTTCGGTGCCTA